ATATTTATTTATGTATACGTATTATATGTATATTATTTTCATTATAGGTATTGTCAAGAGTTTGTCGAGTGACCTACAATCAACAATAACTGCTATTCCTTCCTTTTCATTTTTGACTTCCTATCTCTTTTTTACTCAGCTTTATTATATCTCCATTTCTATCCTGCGATGATGCCTTTTGAAGGACATTTGTTTAAATAATATACTCTTACTATACTCTAGTTTACGAAGTAATAATATATTGTTTTATAATTAACAATAAAATATCTACATCATTCATTACTCGCTTTTATTTTTGTTCAATGAGAAATTGAATAATGGAAATACTAATTATTATTATTATTATTTGATTACTTACTTGGATTGAATAAATGATAATTTGTTGGAAATTTACATTCAGCTGTTGTTTTTATGTACTTCTTCATTATGCAGTGTGTTCTGAAACAAATAAATTAATATGTTAAATGAATAATGTTTGTCAAGACTTAAAATTATGAACATTAAAAATAATTTTAATTATTATTTTTATCGACCGTAATTTAATTATACATTAAAGTTCTATCGCCTTGCGATCAAGTTACTAGTTAATCTTAATTCAAGTATGAAAAGAGGGAATATGTCCCTCGACCATTATTTGAAGATGGAATGTCCATCCGTTTGGCTTGAATTAAGATTCACTAGTAACTTGATCGCAAGGCGATAGAACTTTAATGTATAATTAAAAATAATTTTGTGTTACCTAGTATAACAATATTTTATTACATCTCTTTAATATAATATTGAAAAATATCTATGAGATCTTAATTAATACAACAAATATGTACAACAAATATCGACATCGTTAGAAATTACCTCATGTAGCAGCATGACTGATGATTCAAAAATAATTAATCTTGGTATTAATGCAAGCTTGTTGATATCTTTAACTTAATTCTTGCATCTTTAATTCTCAAAAATTAAAGCGAAGCTTTTTTGTTCTTTTCTCTTCAAGAATCGGGAGATTTGAAATTATAAACGTGATCAACTCTCATTGTCTTTTTTAGTATTTTGACGTTGTTTGAATTATTCATTGTCAAATTGATAATTTGCTGGTCCTCGTGACATAATTTTTTAATTAGCAGATAATAATGGTGTATTTTGATGTCGATACGTTATTCATATATATACATAATACTATTATTATTATTATTATTATTATAAAAGTCAGTTGCACACTGCGCCATCACGCAATCCTTTCACTGTACCTAAACAGCTTATCAGTTTATTTGTAAATTGTTTGGAGTAGGGGAAATCTCTGACGCAGTTGGAATCGTGACGTCTTGAGTGTGACGTCGCACTTACAAAATATTAAAAAATTTTTTATAGGAAACCCGCAAAAGCTCTTATAACAACCTTTGATATAATCATATCTTTTATTATATTTTTGCACTTTCTGATGTAAGGATTATTTTCCAATCGTTTGAGAAAGCAAAAACTACTCTCCAAGAATCGGACTGCTCTGGCATCAAGTTTCATCCAAAATCTGTAGAGTTGCTCATGAAGGGTAAGTTCCACGCTATCTCAATTCACAGATACTCGGAATAACCCCTTGACACCTTGGAAATTATCGAAAGTGATGGCTCGGAGGAGATTTCGAAAAAGTCATCGTTCTATATGGTACTTCTGGCTCCGGAAAATCGATCACTTTAACCGGGAACGGATCTGTGCCTGGTTTTATAATGTCGAAGCGTGTGAAAGTATAAAATTAAATTGATATTTATTTTGTTGTTTTCAGATTCATCCGAACAACACGTTAACAGTCATCGATTTATCTGGCAGAAAGGATGCAGAGAACGTCGATGAAATGGCAAAGGCGACAGAGTACTGGATTTCTAAGATAGTTTATGAACTGAGATATCTTCTCAATCCTACTCAACCGATGTCGCAGGGATTCGGGTACTGGATAAAGCGGAGTTTGGCTCATAACTCTTGCTGGTACTTGGTTGGGTATGTGTGTGGCTAGTCCAATCAATCGGGACAATTTCGCGCCAACTTTTGAGTTTATTTATCTCAATAAAACTCAGCGAGTTGAAAGCGCGAATTGTTGTACTTTGGAACGTTCGCTCTCACAGAAAACAGCGAATCTACCTTGGGAGGATGTTGATGCAGCCATAGATGTGCAGGAGGATGCGAGAAACGAACAGATCGACGGTCTGTTAGAAGAGTTGAGGGAGTCGCGCGATAAGATCGTTCGACAGAGCCAAAAAGAAAAGCATCTGGAGGAACAGCTTCATTAACGTGACAATTTACTTCGTCCAACGTGACAATGAAATTGCCGCGTTAAAGAGCGAGACGCAGCAGGACCGTCGAAAGATGGACGCGTAATCGACGCGCCATTGCGCTTACGCTCACCGTCGCAATCTCCAACACCTCCAACACATTTTGAATTTTCAAAAATTTTTTTTTACGGTGCACATGCAGTATATTATTATGATCATATCTAATTAGCTATAAGAAGATATTGCCACAAAATTCTTACTCCTTGAAAGTACTTGCAGCTGATTAATGATCTATGTATCGTCTGGACGGTGGCAAATTCTAAAGTTGATTTTTATTTAAATTTTTCAATTGTATCGATTAACCGTGGAATTAAAAATAAAGATCATAACAGGTATTGGTAACTTTTCATAACGTAGACGAGTTAAACTTCTTAATTTAAGGTCACAAAATAAGTCCCCGGCTTCAATAATTTTCAAGTTTCAGCAGACAAATTTTCAAACCAAGAACTATTCGATTGATACTTTGACAATTTTTCGAGATATAGATATGCTGATGAATGATGTATAAAGGATTATTTATATGCTATATTTTAGGAGGACTAGTCAAAAGCATTTTATCTACTCTTAGCAAGAGAAATCGTTTGTTTGAGATACAAAAAATTAATTAGAATTTACAAAGAAATATTTAGTAACAGAATCCTGAGAAAAGCACCACCATTTTGCCAGTTTGCACCAGTTTGCCATCAGGTTCATGATATTTAATCATTAAATTAACTGACAAAAAAAAATTAAATATTTATTTTATGTCAAGTTTAATATTTAAAGTAAATATTAAAATATTTAAAATGTACTTCAGCAATTCACTTATAGTGTCAAGATTGCGAGCAACCAATTCGCAGCTTCTTCACAGAAATTATGAGATTTATTAGTCTCGTATTATTCAGAGCCAAAATTTGAACCATTTGTATTGTTAGACTGCGTGGGAGTTATTTTGTAGGGGTGGAAAATCGGCTAGGTCGAACCCTCTTCTCCTCTTCAACTGCATCACTCTTTTAGCAGCCTTTATCCTAGATGGCATCATCTCAGCATCTCACTCTATTATAAGTTGCAGGTACTAAGTTTTTATGACTCACCATCAATGTTTATTGTTCTTTTAATGACTTATTAACTTAGATTTATTAATTTAATTCTTCTGTACTATTCGTTGACATTTTAAAAATTTTTATTCTTAAATATCCAATAGACTAAATAAATATACTACACACATAAATTTATTTCGAATTTTAATTTTTTTTAAGTTTGTGATTAGTAATTTAAGTCCTTTCAATGATTATAAAATCGTAAACAACTATTGTATAAAATTATCTGACAATATTTATGTTTTAAGTTGAGAAGTTTTAGCGCGCAAGGTTTTTTATACAACACCTTGTATTATTTATTATTCGTTTATTATATTTATATGATTTACTAGAATTTTTAACGGCGCGCATTCGCGTGCCCCCTATCGAAATTCTCGAATGAATTTATCCTGTTCGATTTATATCGATATATTGATATGTTCACGTACCAGGAGATTGACCAATAGTAACTGAGGAGGGTTTATATTCTACCAATAAGGAATCAGGTCTCATTTTTTCGACTATTGACTAACTTCAAACTGTCATGTATTTTTATTTTGTAGGGATTAAAAAAAAATTCTCTTACCTATTGACGGTAAAAAATATTTTACTGTTTGTTTTTTTGACTAATTCACTTGTTTCTTTATTATTTTGACAACAATAATTTTTGCTTTACAACATTAAGATTTTTTTAACTTTAAATAAAATTATTTTTATTAAAAATTACCTTGAATAAACAAAATTGATGAATTCGCGTTTTTCACCATTCAAATTAAGAATATTGAGAAACGGAAACATGACTAGAAAGCAACTTGCTACTGCGCATAATCGATCGGTCGATAGGCTGTAAGACAACAATACCTCGAATAAATATTAATATCGAACAGACTACGGCGCGATTCGGCAGTAACTGTGCACTGTGTTTGTTTCTTTCTTCAGGGATAAGGAAGCGTTTGAAAAAATGAGTGGAGATAAAAAGTAAGTAAATTTAAATAAATAATTAATGGAATTTGTTATAATTAAATACGAATTATCAATGCGTTAATATTAGTAAAATAAAATTATCTATTAAGTGTGAATTGTGTGTGCCGCCCCCGTGGCTTCGAAACACCGCCATGTTGCTAAATTTTCGTATTGATTCATGATGAAATTTCTAGAATAACCGGCATTTTATGGCTATTTTTAAAATCAATTTTTATTATTGATGCATGCGAAAATAAATCATCATTTTAATTTTACGAGATATAAATAATTATTTCAACCGTGATATGAATAACGATCGAATTAATAATGTCGATGTGAAATAAATTGTAACATGAGCTGCGTCATATTTTATATGGTTTCCTAGTAAACTAGAAATACCTCGATACAAATGACTATCTCAATTTTATTCTCACGTACTAATTAATTTAACAATGTCTTATCACATTAGACAGATTATTTTATCATAAAATGTCGATTTATATCGCCGTTACAATCAGTATATAATGACTCGCATTTTTTTTGTCGACTTCAATTGTTTTGCCTTCTAACCTGTACAACGACCGCGTGCTTTTTTTTTTCTATCGATTTCTTAATTAGTTTTATTTAAAGATTATTAAAGCAGACATGTAAGCGGGTTAAGATGATTACCATTATTATGTAATTGATAATAAAATTATATTTTATTCTGTATTAATTTTTTTTTCTTTGTTATTTAGGGTTATACCACCCCCAGTTCTCTGGGCACAGCGAAAAACTCATCTCTATGTCACATTTTGCTTAGAGGACTGCAAAGACCCAATAATAAACATCGAGGCGGAAAAAATTTACTTTAAAGGTGTCGGTGGTACAGAACACAAGGAGCATGAAGTTACTATTAATTTTTACGGAGAAGTGGACCCTGAAAAGACTATTAAAAATGCTAAAGGAAGACTCTTTGAAGTCTTGCTGTTCAAAAAAAAAGAGGGCCCTTACTGGCCAAGATTAACCAAGGAAAACAATAAATTCCATTGGCTGAAAATTGATTTCAACAAGTGGAAAGATGAGGATGACTCTGATGCCAGCGGCAGCGATGACGGTGGTCCAGGAAAAAGAGAAGACTTAGAAAGTGTAAGCATTTTTTTCTTTATTTATATTTTTGATTTTTTTTAGTAATTTAACCATTTTTTAATTTTTTTTTTTTAACAAATAGATTTTTTCCAAAAAATTATTTAGAAAAATTGCATTTTTTATTTTTTAAAATTTTCACATGTCAATTTTTTTTTTTTACTTTTTTTTTGCCATAATTTATTTGTTAAAAAAATTCTTAAAATTATGAAATATTTACTAAATTAATTTTCATGGTTTTTTTTTTTTTATTATTACAGGTGATGCGTGACATGGGTTACTTGAGTGGTAACGGCAATGTTAAACCAGACTTGGATGATTTACCCGATGAAGTAGACGATGCCGATAGTGATGATGAAGAACTTCCTGAACTCGAGTGAAATTATTTAAAAGACCAAAAAAGTAAAATCGTTTTTAAATAAATTAAAAAAAAAAAAAATAATAAAACATGAGGAATTTTCAAACTTGATTCCTCGAGCGTGATTTTTCTAACACATTCGTAACGTATATTGATTGAGCCCTTGTGACCGTAAGATTTTTAAAAATCAAAAGATTCAATTTTTGCAGTCACAAGGTTATCGTTAACGTTTTAGCGAGTTAATCTGTTTCACAGCCACTTGCAGTAAAAAAGTAAAGTTAATACAATTGAAATTAAATAAGTAATAGTAAATTAATCATCAGCAAGACTATTGGATGGCTAGAGGGTTAAGTAATAACTAGAGTTCTTTGGACTTTTTTTCCTCATTATTAATTTTATTTAATAAAAATAAGTTGTAATAATAATTATAATATTAATTATAAACAAGCTTTTTTAATAATGATCAATCTTGTAAAATAAAGGTACGAAAAAATATGGAAAAATAAAAAATTGTGTTCAATAATTTGTAATTTCTTTATTTTATTTAGGTATAAAATATAAATATTTTAATTCTTAATTAACCAACTATACTAGAAGCTCCTCTTAGTGCTAAATACCCAGCAGTAATATCCATTGGTAAACTTCGTACTGTTGCAAATTCTTCAGCAGTCGCATAGTACAATTTTGTTTGTGGATCTGTATACTTTGCCTGTAAAAAAACAATTATAATTGATTTAAATTTACTGATAAGTTTTTAGTTATGATTTTTTTTCCTTAGAATTGAATCATAAAAATTTCAGCCTAAATGATAAGAATAATCATCAAGTATAATAATTACTGTGATTATTCTATTAATCATATATTACTCTTTATATATTTTATAAAATACTTAAGAGTGACTGAGTAAGTATTAATTAAAATTTTTTAACTAAATAAATTTTTTCCATACCTGTAATCCAGATATATCTGAATACTTTTTAGCTGGTCGAAAACTCGGTGGTGCATTTATTGAACTATCTAAATAAAAATAACATTAGTTATTTTTGTGGAAGTATCATAGATGAAAGCTAAATATTATACGATAATATTTATTGAAAAAATGATTACAAAAAAATAAAAATAAAAATTTCACTTGTAAAAAACTTTAAAAGCTGTAAGTGCAATTTTAAAAAAATATTTTTTTGTTCTAATTTAATTATTAAATAAAAATTAAAAACCTCGGCTAACTTTAGTATTATTAATATTTAAAATAAAAAAAGCGAATATATACACAAAAGTTAATTTTATTTTAATAATATTAAAACAGACTTACAATGAACAAATTCAGGCGGCCATGGTAGGCTTTTTTCTTGAGCCAAAACTTGCTTCAACGACCGCCAAGTTCTTTTTTTACCTGATAAAGTTATAGGACGAAATTTTTGTTGAAATTCTGGATTTTTAAAAATTGGCTGAGGTTTTTTAACTTCTGTCACATCTTCGGTTCCCATTTTTCACTTCTGAAATACAAAAGATTTATTTATTTACAAATATAACCTCTATGATAAATAATACTTCTAATAGTTGATAAAAATTTTAATCAAAAATTAAATAGTGATAAATTAATTTTTTTTTAATTAATGACAAAAATGTTAATAATCTCAGGTACATACTTTAAATTATTCCTTTTCTAAAATCTACTTGTTTGTAAAAACAAAAATTCTTTTAATTTCTACTTTTTTCAGTATTATACTTAAATATATATAATTTCAATATTTAAATATAAATAAAAAAAAAATTTTTATTAACCTTTCTATGCATAGATTGATCAAAAAAAATTTAATAAATCAATATAATCTCAGAACTTAATTTATCATGTTAAAACTTTTGAATAAATTTTGACAGCTGATTCAGCGCTGAGCATGCGCAACAATTAATTCAAACTACTTTTTATTATATTAAAAAATCAATATCAAAAATCAAAATTCCATAAATTAAAATGCTTTGAAAAAATATTTAAATAAATAATTATCATTTTAAAATTACTAAAAAAATTTTCAAGTTAATTTTATTAACAATCACAAGTCATGATTATAACTAAAGTAGTCGCTGAATGGTCCAAGGTCTCGTAGCTCCGGGGATTGAGATTGAAATCACCTTACAATAGCCCTGAAGGTCATCGTTCATCGCAGCAGTCTTCAGTCGCTCGTCGCTCTAGATATTAGCCACATCATTGACGTTCGTGACAGTGTCATTAATCAGCAAGTGTTGAATTAACTCAAGTACATAACTAATAATTAAAAATGGCACGAAAATTTTTCGTCGGTGGTAACTGGAAAATGAACGGCAACAAAAAGGAAATCAATGATATTGTTGAATTCCTTAAAGCCGGTCCACTGGATCCAAATGTTGGTACGTGACAATTGTCAAGTATATTATTCATGATTATTATAGTCCGTCATTTACATAATTACTTTTGAAAAACAATTACTATCATTTCAAGATATAAAATTATTCAACTGATAAAATTTCATTCAAATAAACATATTACATCATCATTTAGATATATAGTTATAGTGTCATAAACTAAATTGTATCATTTTTTTAGAGGTCGTTGTTGGATGTCCATCGATTTACTTGACATACACCAAGAGTATTTTACCCAGCAATGTTTTTATCAGCGCTCAAAATACTTACAAAGTTCCCAAGGGAGCATTTACTGGTGAAATAAGTCCTGCTATGCTTGTGGATAATGGAATCCCATGGGTTATTTTGGGTCACTCTGAACGTCGAAATGTTTTCGGTGAAAATGATGAATTGATCGCTGAAAAAGTAGCTCATGCTCTTGAAGCTGGTGTCAAGGTAATTGTGATTATGATAGTTATTACTTATTATCAATAATTTATCTCTTTATTTATAAACAAAATGCAATGGGATTTTTTAATTTTTGAAATTTTTTAAAATATAAACTCATTTCAATGTTACACTCATCGAGACCTTTCATTTAAGTACCCACATGGAATTTTTATATATATTATATATATATGGTATTTGTAAAATATATAAATATATGAAAAATTGATGTGGGTACTCAAATGAAAGGTCTTAATGAGCGTAATGTCGGAGTGAACTTATATCTCTAAAAATGTCAATAGTTCTCAAGATATTTGCTAAATTGCACTGTACTTTCTTACATATTGGCGTTTTTAAAGATATAAGCTCATCCTGATATTACATTCATCAAGACCTTTCATTTGAGTACCCACATGCATTTTTGATATATTTTTCATATATACATATATGTAATCTATAAAAATATATGAAAAATTGATGTGGGTATTTAAATAAAAGATCTCAATGAGTGTAATGTGGGGGTGAGCTTATATCTTTAAAAATATCATTAGATGACAAGATTCAATGTCATTTCTTAACTATTGACGTTTTTAAAGATATAAGCTCATCCCGATGTTACACTCATCATGAGCTTTCATTTGAGTACCCACATGCATTTTGATATATTTTTCATATATACATATATATAATATATATAAATATATGAAAAATCGATGTGAGTACTTAAATAAAAGGTCTTGATGAGTGTAACATCGGAATGAGCTTATATATTTAAAAATATCAATAGTTCACAAGGTACAACGTCATTTCTTAATTATTTTTATTTAAAATAAAAGTTAAGAGCGATCAATCACAGTGATAATTACTCAATGCTAGTCAATAGATATCAAAAAAGTTCAATTAAAATTAATAGAAGTCGTAAAATTAATTATTTATTAATTAATTGAAAAAATAAAATACTTATCAAGTGATTTTTTATTATAACTGACAGGTCATCGCTTGCATTGGAGAAAAATTGGAAGAACGTGAAGCAAACAAGACTGAAGAAGTTGTCTTCCGACAAACTAAAGCCATTGCTGACAAAATAAAATCCTGGGACAACGTCGTGCTGGCTTACGAACCAGTTTGGGCTATTGGTACCGGTAAAACCGCGTCACCACAACAAGCCCAAGAGGTTCATGACAAACTTCGTGCATGGTTCACCAAAAATGTCAGTCAAACGGTGTCTGAATCTCTGAGAATTATTTACGGAGGTTCGGTGACTGCTGACAACGCCCAAGAGTTGGCTAAAGAAAAAGACATCGATGGTTTCCTCGTTGGAGGAGCATCTCTCAAGCCTGACTTTGTAAAAATCGTCAATGCTAAACAATAATCTCCAATCATTATCAATAATCAACTATTTAAATAATTACAATTATCAACCTCAACTGTATAAAATAATAGATTTATTTTTATTTCAAATAAATTTAATTTCTCCATAATGGAGTTGAAGTTAGAGAGTTGGTATATTTTAAAAATAATAAAACAACCAGAGTTTATTGTTGTTGATGATGATATATTTAATTAATGGTGTAACTATTCTGACCAAATAAAGCTTCAAATGCACAGATAATTGTTTTTTTATATCTAATATACTTTTATGGATGATTTGATTCAGTATAAATCGTTCTTAGGTAAATTTATTTAAGCATTCCGCGGGTAATAACACCCGTAGGAAGATTCAAATGTTGGACGTCATTTAATCCATCGATTTTACACCTTGACCACGCTATTTTAGCTAACGACTTAAATGTTCTTGGTTCCCAGATTGCTAAATCCACGAGTACTTTGCGGTTTAAAAACATTTCATTCCTTGATAATCCTTCTTTTAATATTTTTGGTGAAATTCCGTGTTGAAGGCATGCTGCTTCTAGTCTCGTATTCCATAACTACATTAAATAATTATTGTTAATACCAAAGTAATTAATTAAATAGTAGTAATAAAATGATACTAAAATTGAGAGACATTTGACAATTTTTTAATTAATAAATTACAACAAGAAAATTTCATTTGAAAAAATCCATCTTTGGAAGCTCTAAAAAGTTATTATTTAAGAAAAATTAAAAAATTATCAAGTGTTATGCCAATTTCAATGTCATGTAAGATAAAAGACCCAGTTATTGACACTGGCCTAGTTATTGACACTTGCAATTTTATTTTAATTAAAAAAAAACAAATCAACTTTAATAAATTATTAAATATAATTTTTAAGATAATTAATTTTTTGGGAACATTTTATTTTTTTAATTAGACTAAAATTGCAAGTGTCTAACAACTAGGCCAGTGTCAATAACTGGGTCTTTTACCTTAATAAAAACAACAGGCGTGCGAAAATTTTTTTTTTCAATAATGAATTGTTTAAAACCGGAAAAAAAAAAAATATTTAAATACATATTTCAACAAGTTTATCACTAGAAATATAAGTGAAAAAAATCAATATGTAGAAAATAAATTATTGTGTGACAATTGCTTTGTTTTTCCAATCACTTGTGATTCTTTTCCAATATCAAGGTAATATATATGATTGTACTTATAAAAAAGTTTATAAATTTGTAAAAATATCAATTCAAATTTTTTAATTTAATAGCATTAAATTATTTCAATTAAAATAAAAAAAATTTTGGACTTCTGCTACTTTCTTAATTATATTAAATAACTAATAATTAAATGTTTATTTATCCTCACATCACTTATCTGACGACGTCTTAGTTTTCTACCTCTGAAGCAAAACATAAGAGATTTATGGATCCCTTTGATTGTTATTGAGTAACAATTTCTTCTCCGGCCGTAAAAGTGCTGAAAATATTAATTGCATAAATATTAATTGCAAAATAAATTTATTTTATTATATTGAAAACTTACAGCAGCCAATTTGAATATTTTTCTTTTACGCCAAAATTCATCTGGACCACGGATGCGGGCAAAAAGTGTCAATGATTTGAACACCATCTTTGATAGCCAATTAATTTATTTAAATGTCAATTTTAATTGTTATATTATTTTTAATTTATCTTAATAGTATTTTTATTCAGAACTTTAGAGATTGTTAAATTAAGAAAAGGCCGAAACATGTGTTAATAAATAGGATGCAACGTTATTCACTGAGTTTATGGAATACATATTATTAGTACATGTGTTCAAGCCCCGAGAACTACACTTGCGCTATTTCGAAGTTGCGCAATCGCTTTTATTTATGTATTGCAAATTCGGAGTTTAGTTTTATGTCAAAATTTTCATTTTTTTGTTGAAAATCTATTCTAAAATTATTAAATGAGCTAATTAAGTTACAAATTATTTATTTAATGTTTTTATTACTATTTTTAAAGTTTTTATTAAGAGGGCGGTATATGTAAACTCTTACTGTTTGAGATTTAAAAAAGACTGTCATAATTGTTAATTTAATTTAATGATTTAACGTTAATTAACAATGATTGTTATTTTTTTGTATCTTCATAGATTTCAATTTTTTTTCAATGCTTATAGTGTATAATCTTCATACTTAATTCGTAAGCGAAAAAAAAATTTTTTTTAAATTCCAAACGCGAAATACTTTATTTTAATTATTTTTAATTTTTATAACAAATCAATTACAACAAAAAAATACTTCTAAAAATTTTCACTTGTAATTTTTATTAATTTTCACATGTGAAGCTTTTTAATTAAATTTTTTTATAATAATCTAATTGCCATAAAATTCTAAGAATATTTTTTATGCCTGCTAATTTCAGTGTCATTACAATACCTTTGTCTTGAGCAGTTGAATAAATAAAATTTCTTTCAAGTTCAATTTTTTAATGGATTCTAAAAATGTCAAAAAAAAAAAATTTAGTTTTGATTTTCATATTTCGCGCCAAAAAAAAAAAAAAAACGCCACTAGAGTTCTTGGACCCACGTGGTTAATTCCTCTCTATCGGTATAAATACTTTTAAAAAGTATAAAAAAAAAACAAACTCACGTGTGAGTTATTTTTAAAATTAATTAATATATTAAATAAACAAAAATGGTTTTAAAAAAGAAGTAAGTACAGTATTTATATCAATAATAACTATCTTTTTAAATTTATTTCTAACAATAATTTTTTATCTAATTATTGATAAAAGCAACAATAAGAATAATGCTTACATATATTTTGGAGGTTATTTGGAGAGGATTTAAAATTTTTAATTTATATTTTAGATTTAAAAAAAATGGTGAAGACATTGAAAACTTCGATGAAGGTGATATCACTGGGAGTGATGATGAGTTATCAGCATCAGATAGACGTTTGTTGGAAAAAGTAAGAAAGAAGCACGTCCCGGAGAATCTTGATAGTGATGATGAGGTTTATGGTCTGAAAGATGGTAACGCTGATGATGATGATGATGATGAAGAAGAAGAAGCAGATCAGGAAGATGGCTATGATTCATTGGAATCTGACATGGACGGTCCTCGGGAAGATGATGGTTTACCAAACGAAAGAGCGTGGGGTAAAAAGAAGACAGCTTACTACTCAACTGATTTTGTCGATCCTGACTATGAAACTTTGAGCCACAAAAAAATGCAGGCGGCTGAGCTGGAAGAACAAGAAGCACGTACTATTCAGCAGAGATTAGCTCAACAATTAGATGAGGCTGATTTTGGTTTAGATTTAATTGAACCTCAGGTTGATAGCGACGAAGCGCCTGATGAGAAAGTTGTCAAAGTAGACTGGAGTAAGATGAGCAAGAGAAAAAGAGTTGAATATTTTCACAAAGAAAATCCGGAGTTTGACAAAGTTGTTTCTGATGTTAAAAGTAAATTTTTTATTTTAGTTATATTTTATACAATTATTTAAGATGAAGATTAATTTATATTTTTTTATGTTTCAGAATATTTAAAAGAAGCCAACGAAGTTCTTTCACCATTCCTTGATTTAGTAGATAAATTAAAAGTATCTCACCCATCAATTGATTTTGTTAAGATAAAATATCGATTAGCGTTAAACTATTCTGTCAATGTTTCATTCTACTTGATGCTGAAAGCAAAGAAAATACCAGTATCATCTCATCCTGTTCTTATAAAAATAGCACAGTATCGAAAGCTTCTTACTCAATTAGAAGAAAATCAAGGTGATATATTGGACAAGGTTTCAGAGCTTGTAAAATCAGTCAGCAATGAAAAATTGCTTCAAGATATTTTGGGAAATCCTAATCCAGAAGATGAGGAGGAAGATAATGAAGAAATGGATGGCATGAGTGATTTGTCTAAGGACAATGATGAAGAAATGGAAGAAGATCTAGAATTTGAGGTATCAGGAGAAGAAAAACGTCCTATCACTACTCAAATTGCCAAGAATAAGGGATTGACACCTTACCGTAAGAAGGAACTAAAAAATCCACGTGTAAAGCACAGGATCAAGTTCCGTAAAGCTAACATACGTAGAAAGGGTGCTGTCCGAGAAGTCAGGAAGGAATTAAAACGATATGATGGAGAAATATCAGGTATCAAGGCTAGTGTAAAAAAGGGAATCAAGCTTAAGTAAGAATTATCGATTGGGTTGTCATATCTGACTGTTAATATCTATTTATATTTTTTATGGATTAATTGAACGAATAAAAAATTTTTAATGGAATAAATTTTATTTTATTTGAAAATTCTGTATGAAAAAAAAAAAAAAACGAATCATATGCAATCTAAGACACTTACAAATAAAGAGTAAATTAAATTGAATCTGTTACGGTGAACATTGTATTATTAAAAACTGAAACTGAATGGATGTTTCACATTGTTATTTGATAATTTTATAGAGCTAAAACTAAAAATATACTCTATGAGGATTCGATTTTAGCAACAATGTCTGATTCACGGAAAAGATGTAATTCCTTGTCCTCTTCAAGAGTTACTTTGGTGCCACCGTACTCGGGAAGGAGAACTTTGTCTCCTACATTTACACTCATTGGAATATGTTGTCCTTGCTGTCAACATAAATATAAAAAATTTATTTAACAAAAAAATTTGTCCCACAAAATCATTTTTAAAAAATTGCATTTATTTTTAAAAATTTTCAAATATCAATTTTTTTGGCATAATTTATTTTTTATAGAATTTTAAAAATTATTAAATATATGCTAAATTAATTTTTATAAATAATTTCAATATATCCATTTAATTATAACCTTGAAAGGCACTTTTTTGGAGCAATTAATTATTCATTTATTGGAACCAATTTAATAAAAATAAATTGTGAAAAATTAATATAAAATGTACCTCATTTCTTGAGCCAGGTCCAACAGCAACTACAGTGGCTTGAAGAACCTTCTTCTGGTTCTCTGGTAACAAGACTCCACCTTTTGTTTTAGTTATAGCATCGGCTCTTTGAACGAGTACTCGGTCCATCAAAGGAATGATTCTCTTAATTGCTGCGGCCTAAATAAATTTAATTTATAATTAATCATCTATTGAAAAATTTTACTCTAAATTTTTAGAATTACTGATGCAATAAATTTTCACATTTATCAAAAAAAAATGGAGATAGTTTTTGAGTAAATAAAATAAATTACTTAATTAGAGTAAAGGATTTAAATTTGACTTACCATTTTGATTGATTATTTTAATGAAAGAATAATGCCTGAGAATAAAAAATGACCGGCTATCACGAGTGCACGTTGCTGGAGAATAACTAGTTCAGCAAGATGTGAAATGTAACCTAACTGTTGGCGCTGCTTCTGCTTGTCGCGTTGAAATTTTTTCCTTCGATTTTCTCGAAACTTCGTCGCCCCTTTACCGCGGATTTCAAAATGTCCAATGATCAATTCTTTATCTTACGTAACCACCGTGCGCAGTGACTAGAGCGCACTTTTAAAACACGACATCTATTTTAATTTTTTACTTTTTTATAATAAAAAAAAAAAAATTATCACTCCATGTTTTATTTATAAAAAAAATAACTTCTGCTCAAGACTCAAGAAGATTTTTTTTTTTACATGATATGCTGATTTGTTCCCGTTTAAAGAATTTTAAATCTTTTGTGATATTTTTAATGTATACAAATTTAATCATTTTTTTTATCAATAAAAAAAAATTATCTATCAAAGATAAATATTTCTAGGGTCAAATTAAAAAGACAAGAGTATAAAAATAAAGATAAGCTTAAAAATATAAAGAATTAAATTAATTTGAAATTTCTTAGCAGCTGATTGGTTGCCGAGTCGTGATTGCGTCATCCAAAAGCCGAAGTACTTTCTAGAAACTTTTAGAAATCATGATTATTTACGGATTAATCACTGAAATGATGAAAAATTTTTACTTTTCACACTTCTAAAAAATAATATTAATTTTTTTTTTTCTTTTAGCTTTATTCACTATTTATAGTGATAAAATATAAAATTTATAAAACTTATATTATAAATCAATTGAGTATCCGGGTATATAAAAAGCAAAGTGGAGTACTTTGGAGGGGATACCCATGTGATCTACACTCTACACTCCGTGCCGTCTCGTCGCCATTCATTTCTCTTGATCTCAGCATAACGTGCAACAACGTTTTCGGAGAAATATATTTTTTAATAAAAACTTTAAATCGCCAATATTTTTTAATCACTTATATTCAAGGTAACAATATTTATTTTAATATTAATTATAATTATTTTTATTTAATTTTCACAATTTAACTCAAACAAACTAATCAAAGCCGGCACGCTGTAATTTTTTTTTCCAATTTTTCATTAATAAATAAAATTATAATTTTAAAAATTATCAATTCACATTTAGTTCATTAGAATTTTTTTTTTTTTTAATAATTAAAATATTTATAAATAAGTTAGGTTAATTTTTTCCGCGAGTGTAGAACTTGAGAATCTAGCGCGCACGGGTTTACATAACCAAAATGTCTAGATGATTTTATGGAATTTGATTAAAATTTTTTATACTAAGTTTATAAAATTTTTTTACAGATGTACAGACTACCTGGACTGATGCGTAGCGTAGCGTCGCGACAAATGCAGCTACAAGCTCGTTCATACGCAAAGGACGTGCGTTTCGGCGTGGATGTGCGTGCTACAATGTTAAAAGGAGTTGACATTCTAGCTGACGCTGTTGCAGTTACAATGGGACCCAAAGGTCGCAACGTGATCATCGAGCAAAGCTGGGGCAGTCCCAAGATCACCAAGGACGGTGTGACTGTCGCCAAAAGCATTGACCTGAAAGACAAATTCCAGAATATCGGTGCTAAGTTGGTTCAGGACGTCGCCAACAATACTAATGAAGAGGCTGGTGATGGTACGACTACTGCTACGGTATTGGCCCGTGCTATCGCTAAAGATGGTTTTGAAAGAATTAACTCTGGATCAAACCCCGTTGAAATTAGACGCGGAGTTATGTTGGCTGTCGAAACTGTCAAAGATGAACTGAAGAAAATGAGCAAACAAGTAACGACACCCGAGGAAATCGCCCAAGTCGCGACAATTTCTGCCAATGGTGACACTTTAATTGGTAAGTTGATTTCAGACGCTATGAAGAAAGTTGGCAAGGACGGAGTGATTACAGTAAAGGACGGAAAGACATTGGAAGACGATTTGGAAATAATTGAAGGAATGAAGTTTGACAGAGGCTACATTTCTCCTTACTTCATTAATTCTACCAAGGGATCCAAGGTTGAGTTCCAAGATGCATTGGTGTTGTTTAGCGAGAAAAAAATCTCATCGATCCAAAGTATCGTTCCTGCTTTAGAATTAGCAAATTCAATGCGAAAACCGCTGGTGATTATTGCTGAAGACATTGATGGTGAGGCACTGACTACTCTTGTAATCAACAGACTCAAGATTGGTCTCCAAGTGGCTGCTGTCAAAGCTCCAGGCTTTGGTGACAACCGCAAAGCCACTCTTCAGGACATGGCCATCTCTACAGGTGGAATTGTCTTTGGAGACGAAGCCAATCTTGTTAAAATTGAAGACGTTCAGGCCAGTGATTTGGGACAGGTTGGAGAGATCATTATCACCAAAGAAGACACTCTCTTGCTGAAAGGCAAAGGAAATCAAGCTGATGTTGAAAGACGTGCGGAGTACCTCAGAGATCAAATTGATAATACAACTTCTGAGTATGAAAAAGAAAAATTACAAGAACGATTGGCTAGACTTGCTGCTGGAGTCGCGGTTCTCAGAATTGGAGGCAGCAGCGAAGTTGAAGTCAATGAGAAGAAAGACAGAGTTAATGACGCTTTGAACGCCACGCGCGCTGCTGTTGAGGAAGGAATCGTTCCTGGAGGTAAATATCTTTCGGAAAATTTTTTGGTAATTATTTACAAGTGGGTTCAGCTTTATTTTTGGCCATATCTACGTGAAAAATTAACATTTTTTAATTTTTTTTTTTATTCTGCTTGTTTTTACGGCGCATTTATGATAAAAAATAAAGATTTCGATAGCTTTTTTGGTTTGAAAAGGTGGAAATAATTTTGGCTCTCATTTTTTTGGATAAAATTTCTATTTTATCTTTTTTTGAACGATTTTTTTTTTTTTTTTTTTTTTTTTTTTTTTTTTTTTTTTTTTTTAAAAAAATACATAAAAAAACGAACAATTAAAAAAAAAATTTTAATATCACAATTTTTCTAAAAAGTTTATAAATTTTTGTTGAAAATTTGTTAAAATTGTGATAATCAATTTTTTTTTGCAATTGTTCATTTTTTTTATGTATTTTTCAAAAAAAAAATTTCGTTCAAAAAAATTAAAATTAAAATGGTGGACCCCACTTCTAAATAATTACCAATTTGTAGATTAATATTTATTGAATTGTAAAATAATATTTGTTGTATTTTTCCTCAGGTGGTACCGCTCTTCTAAGATGTGTTCCAGCATTGCAGCAACTCAAACCAGACAACGCCGACCAGGCATTAGGTATCAAAATTATCGAGAAAGCACTTCGTCAACCATGCTTCCAAATCGCAACAAATGCAGGAGTTGATGCTGGTGCCGTGGTAGCTAAAGTATCTGAAGGCAAGGTTGGCTACGACGCTATGAATGACAAATACGTAGACATGATCGAAGCTGGAATTATTGACCCAACGAAAGTTGTGCGAACGGCCCTGACTGATGCCGCTGGTGTAGCTTCGTTACTCGCTACCGTTGAAAGTGTCGTCTGCGACGTCCCTAAGGAAGATTCACCTATGGGTGCGATGGGTGGTATGGGAGGTATGGGTGGTATGGGCGCGATGGGAGGTATGGGTATGTAAAAAATTAAATAGCTTCGTTGTAATGATTTTACAAATTCATTTAAAAATCATACATTTGTGAGTAACTAATTTTTTAATTTCTGTCTCAAGTACTTGTTATAGTTGTATACATTCATATTAATAAGTTGATGATTAGTTAAAAAATCCAAGCTGCACTGGACATTGAATTTTGATGTTGTATACATACATTCCTGAAGCTTTTAAATTAATGGTCCATTTCTTTTTGTTTTTTTTATTTACGCATCATTGGCTTTAATTAAATAACAAAATGTTATTCACAAATGCAGATAAGGAAGCTATTGAGATCATATCTCTGTAAAAACACCCGAGATTCATCATGTAAAATATTATTAACTGTACTATAAGATTAATTAGCAAAAAAGGATTGTTATTCCTTGTTAACCGAGGATTTTCAGTTGAATGTTTTTTAATTGCAATGCATTTCCGATAAGAAAAATCAATTCGTCTAGTTATTTAAGTAACGTAACTTTAGTGTAAGAAGCTGACTATTTTGTACTTTTTAAGTTTATGTTCAACATCTACTTATTTAACTGACATTTATTAGATATGTTTACATTTCCACTATTCATTTATATACCATTTTGTTTATGAGTACATGTAAAAATTAAAAAAATGAGTGTGTTCAATAACAAATAATTCGTTATTTTTTATTTGTAGTCTAAATAAAATTTTCATTAAAAAATTTTTCTTTTTTTTTTTAATTACCTATCCTATAAATATTAAATAATTAATCACATAACTTTAAATTCAACTTCATATTATATTTGTGGGGATATTTTTTAATATTAAAAAATAATTAATAATTACCGATTAATTGTAATTATATTTTTTTATTCATTATTTGTGATACGAAATATTGTTCATAAGTTTAATAGCTTATTTGTATAAATTATTTAAAATTAAACTCTTTAGTTAATAAAAATAAATATTTCTCAGGAACTAAAGGAATAATTTTTTATAAAGTATAAAAATAAGTAATAATAAATTGTAATTATATTTTATATTATCAGTATTTTCTGTACGTATTACAAAAGCTTAAGTTAGTCATATTATTTTACGAAGTTCCAATCTTCTCAATTTCGTCAGGATCTTCAGCGTCTAAGTAATGAATCTTCTTGTTGAAATGCCTCTCAATTTCTTGGCATATAAGCGCCGATTCTTCTGAATCAACTAAATTAATGGCAATACCCGACTTTCCAAAACGCCCTGTTCGTCCAATTCGATGAAGATAAGTCTCACAGTCAGCTTTGCGATTTTGGTCCATGGGTAAATCAAAGTTTACAACAATAGTCACTTGTGCAACATCAATTCCTAGTAACACAATAATTAATCAATTAATTACTGCAAAGTAACTTAAAATAATTTTTAAAATGTAAATTAATTACCTCGGGCCAAAACATTTGTAGTAATTAAAACTTTTTCTAAACCTGCTCTGAATCTATCTAATACAGCAATCCGCTGCTCTACTGTTAAGTCTCCTGACAAAATTGCAACTCTGTGACCATCCTTGGTCATTTTCTCAGCCAGCCAACCTGCAGTTCTTCTCGTCTAAATTAAAAAAAAAAATCAAGAATTATTAAAAAAAAAAGTATTAAATAAGTTTATTTAATACTTTTAAATTTAAGTATTTGTTAAAAATAAACTTACATGACAGAATATGATTGCTTGTCCAATACTGATTACGGAGTATATATTTGTAATAGCAACATACTTTTCCTCAACTGATCTGCATTTAACATAATATTGCTTAATATTGTCCAAGCTTTCTTCTTCACGCATTAAACGAATAATTAAGGGGTTGCTGACAATTATTTCAGCAAATTCCATAACTTCGGGTTCGTATGTGGCAGAAAAGAACATCATTTGACACGATGATTTTGGAAGCATTCTAAAAACAATGATTATTAATTAATAATAATAATAATAATAATACCAACAACCAAATATATTATCAATTAATTTATACTAACTTATGAATGCGTATACACTGGTCTTGATGACCTTGAGTTGCGATCATAACGTCAGCTTCGTCTAGTACAAATACAGATATTTTACTCAAGTCAAAGAATCGGTATTTCAGAGCCCAATCCAAGACTTTTCCTGGAGTTCCAATAATTATGTGATCACTGATTTTTGACCCGCGAGGGACTAAAAATGAACAAAAATTTATATTAGTATTCCTACTACCACTTAGCCATTAAAAAGCTATATTGTGTCAACACGAACCTTCTTCTCCTCGGACAGCATACTTAATCTTAATCTCTGGGCAGAATTGTGACATCTTAGCAGCTACTTCACCAGTTTGAATCGCCAGCTCATAAGTAGGAGACAGACAAAGAACCTGGGGATAATTCTTGTCAACGTTAACGCGACTCAACATTGCCAAGACAAACGCTGCTGTTTTTCCAGTTCCTGATTGTGATTGTGCGATCATGTTTTGTGGTCTGAAAAATTCATCAGTATGTTTATCATTAATTGCTGCAATACATTAATAATATCATTATTATTTATTTAATAACTTACGGATCAGCGAGCAAAGTCGGCAAAGCAGTCTCTTGTATTTTTGAAGGTGCATTGAATCCCATTGCGTATACACCTTTCAAAAGTTCTGGCTTTCTAAGTAAATTAAAAAAAAAAAAAAAAAACAATTGTTAATTGGATTGTAAATAATTAATAAATTGTTATAAGTAACTAATTAAAACATACAAATGTAAGAGTTCAAAAGATTTGACACTGTACAACGGCGACGAAGGATCTTTACGTTGGATTTCCAGGTCCTTGGTCGATTCAACAAGACCTTTGTGAATAATTTTTTGCAGAAGCGATTTTTCTGCCGGTGACATGGGGCCATCCGCACCATCATCTTTATCCTTGTCTTTATCCTTGGATTCTAACTCTTTAGTTTCTGAACTCAAGCTCAGATTTTTAACCTGGAAAAAAGAAATTAATTAGTACAGTGACATTTATTAATTAGTATTCAATTTACCTCTAAATTATTGAACACCATATTTAATTATTATTTATTCAACAATACAATATATAATTAATAATAATTAAACAATAACTGGAATTCCAGTGACGCTATGGGTTATGTTATGCGACTGAATAATTTTCTCAGAATTATCGAAAGTGGTGCGAGAGAGCGAACAAAAGAAATAAGAAACTTCGGCAAGTGAAATATGACCCGCGTTGAAAAACAACATAACAATATATTAATATATAAAGTAAATATATGAGATAAAGCCGGATACAGTATTATTTTATTATTTTTACTTACATTCACCTGCAATAGATCTTGTTCTTTTGTTACTGCTCCCCAATCTACTTTTCCTGAAGCCATTTTCAAATACTTTTATTTTATAATAATTAAGTAAATAAATAAGTATTTTTGTTTTATAAATTATTTTATAGAAGTCAAGGCGGTTGAGTGTCTCGTAGATCACCACAAATCATAATACCCATGTAATTTCACGAAGGAAACTACCATCTTGTTGGTCTAAAAAATGCGCGCGTTTATTTAAATTTTACAAATTATAGATGACACTGAAAATAGTAAATGATCGTAGATTTTCGTGTTCAAAGAATAAAGATTTAACTATAGAAAAAATGATGCTGAAATTAATAGACATCTGAAAATTTTTTAGATTTTTATAACGATTAAATTACTATGAAAAAAAAAAATGGAATAAAAAAATTCCTCACATTGAAATTAAAAAAAAATTATAACTGCGAATTTTTTTAAATATTTTACTTGTTATAATAATTCTAAAAATTTTCAGGTATCTGCTGAATGCTTTTTTATTTAAAAAAATCAAATCAATGAATATTTTGAAAAAATATTTTTAATAATTGGCACTTGTAATTTTTTTAAATTTCTTTGTGGAATTTTTTTTCACAGTAATTTAGTTTTTGTAAATAAAAAATTTATATTAATTTTAAATTATAGATTATTTTATTTATTCGAATAAAAAAAAAAGTATGATAATATTTTATCACTTGTATAAAATAAATAAATTAGAACAGCTAATTTTTTTGTCATATTATAATTGAAAATTATTTTTACATTATATATACACAAGTAATTGTAAATTTCAAATCCATTATATGTACAAACATTTATTAATATATATATATATTTTTTAATTTTATTTTTTATATCAGAGAAATTGCATGCGACGATTTAAATCGAAAATATTTAAGACTTCTTAATTAAAAGTAAGTAAATAAAGTTTGTAAATGTTATTCGTATTTGATGATAACGAGTGAAATAATAAATACATAAAATATCTATATGATAATTATTGTTGATTATTTTAATATTATAAAGTTATTGCTATTTTTTAACTGCATTTTTGATTGATTTATTAGCAGCAGTGGTTTTAGAAATCAACCTCACGTTAATCATAGACAAGTCAATCATTTTGCGCTGATATTTTTTGTGAAATACCATCGCTGCTGAATGTGTTTTAAATACTATCGTCGCAGTACCCTCGCCCATCGTTATTTTCTGCAAAATAAAATTATTTAATAAAAATTCATTAACATAAATCATTTTAATTTAAAATATTTTATTGAAACAAAATCTTACTTCAAGAGTTCCAATTCCTTGACACATACGTCGGATTTGTGCTTCAGTAGTACTAGCAGCTAAATTTTCAATTATAACTGTTGTAAGTTTTATTGAATTTGGTTGAAGTACTATTCTCTGATTATTTTGTGAACCAGCTGTTATTTTTTTAGCATTTGTTGTAGCTGGGCTAACAATAACTTTTCTAACACTGCCGGCAGCGTCTTTGACAACTGTTTTCTGATTACTGACAATAGATTTTTTAGCAACAGCCGTTGATTTATCAACAACTTTTTTCGGTGGTGTTGTAGACTTCTCAATTGTTGCAGCAGATTTTTCAGTTGCAATAGCAGTTGATTGCGTTGGATTTGAGACAGATTTTTGCAGAGAAACAGTTTTTAGTGTAGTTCCTGCTTTTGGAACAGCGGAATTATTTTTCTGCATCGCTACTACAACTCTTTGTGCATTTGCCGTCGGCTTTCGAAGTACAACCCGTCTAGTATTTGCCTGTATCAAAACTTTTTTCTGAGCATCCGTAGTTCCAGTTGTCTCATTATCAGTTTTATTTGCAGACGGATTTTTATCTGTTGCTTGAACTGTTCTAATGATCCGAACGTTAGTTTTATCTCCGCCCTACAAAAATCACCAATTATTTTTTATTTTATCGCACGATTTCTCTCCCAGCTCATTCCAAAATTATTTTTCATAAAAAAAGGAAACAAAAAAAAAAAAACATAAAATAATTAAAATCACAAAATATTTATTACGAAATATGAAAAAAAATTATACAATAAAATCCATGTAATGAGTTATAAAAAAAAATAAACTCATGTATTTAATAAGCTGTAATTGCCTACATGATCAAGTTACAAGAATACACAATAAAAATGACTTCAATATTTTCATTCTTGTTATTACGTAAAATAATTTTTAAAAGTTCCAATTTCTGCTAAATTAGTAGCTAATTTTATACCTCTATCGCTTGAGTATTTCCAGCTGTGGTGCGAATTCTTTTCACTGACTGAGTTGGATTTTCAGTGACACCTTCTTTTTTTATAACTGGAGCAGCTGAAGATTTGCTTTCTTGTACATTATCTGCAATTTTAATAATAAATTATTTTTTTCCCAAAATCAGTAATAAAGAAATAAATAAATAATTAATTAAATTTTTACCAGCAGTTTGTTGATCTTTGGTTTCATCTATTTTATCCATGGCTGCTTTTTTTCGTCTATTCTCTTTTTCCTGAAGTAATTTTTCCCTCAATCGTTTTTGCTCTTCCATTTTTTGACGATACTCTCGCATTTCCGGATCCAAGTCTTCTTCCTAAACATTTAAATACCAACCATTTAGTTTATTATTACATTATGAGCTTACGAGTATCATTATCATAACAAAATGAAAAAAAAATGTACCCGTAATTTTTTTTCAGAGTGGCTTGACTCATTGTCTCCTGTATTTCTTGCTGTTTTAAATCGTTTAGGACTTATGTCTCGGCTAGGCTTGTCACTGGGATCAGGACTCCGTTTATGAAGCATCCGGCTTTGAGTTCGACTAGAGTCAATTGGCTTGCGTGAATGATCGTTGTATGAATCGGAGTTATGAGAACGAGGCTTTGGAGAATATTCTCTTGAACGCGGTGGGGTACGTTCTCGATATCTTGAATCCTAAAATAAAATCAAATGTTTTAATAATTCTATTCATAATATTAATTATATAATTTTCCAAGTTTTAAATAATAATAATCTACTATACCTCATTATATTTATCACGGCTATCAGATTTATATTTGTTGTCATAATCTCTATAATTGCTATCTCTTGAGTAATTACTTTCACTAAGAGATTTTAATGGACTAAGACTTTTTGTTTTGGATGATTTATTTTCTTGCCAAACATCCGAAAAATATGCATAGGGATCCTGAGAAAAAATATATTTTAATTTTTAGAATATATTTATTTAAAAAATCGAATAATAATTGTAATATAATTTACTTACATCACTTTTAGTTTGTGAATAATTTTTTTTATAATCTTGAGTTCCCTGATTATAAGAATCCTGATAAGTAGGGTTTGATGGCTGTCTAAATGAATCACTGGATGCTTGAGATTGCGAGTTATCCCAAGTTCTTATTGCTAAAAAAAATATTTTTTTTTTTATATTATTGTTCTAATCAGGTCTAAATTTTTCTATAATTAATTTTAATCAGGATATTGTAGACCAAATTGATGTTATGTTTTTTATTTAATTTATTTTAACAAATAAACAATTAAAAATTTTCATGTAAAACCAAAAACTCAATACAAATATCTAAAAAAATAAATTAACAAACACCTTAAAACTTTAAAATATAAAAACACATAGTCCTTAATTTATAAAAAATTACTGCGCATGACATTTTAATATACAAACAAATTTTAAAACTGACGAATCGTCGCATGTTAAAATATTTGGTCTACAACATCCTGATTTAATTTAATTATGGTTTTTTTTATTAATAAAAAATATAAAAAAATTAAATAAAATAATTACCATCAAGAGGTGGCTGTGGATTGCCTCGAAAATGAGGATTAATAAGAATTTTATGACCTTGTGGAAGAGGCACATTGGGTAAAACCGGTAACGTAGGCGGTTGTCCAGCAGGACCAGGACCAGGACCGGGACCAGGACCAGGACCAGCATTATATTGATTAACACCTGGTGGATTGTTAAAACCTGGTTTTGGTTCATAAACATTCCTTCCGTCGAATGGAGGTTCTTGAATCGGTGGACGATTTTCAAAGTTCTGTCCACTGGGCTGGACACCTGGATGATGCGGAATCGGTGGACCATGAGCAGGACCTGGTGGTCGAGGGAAATTAGGCTGCATCATTCCATTAGGACGGTCCTGTGGGTGCATCGGATGTCCTGGATGCATCGGCGGTCCCATCGGACGTTGTTGATGAATTCCTGGATGATTAGCTGGAGGCATCTGCTCATGATGATGCATAGGTGGACCTTCCAGAGGTGGTCGTGGCCCTGGATAATGAGGCGACTGTGCCATGTAAGGTAACTGCTGATTAGGTGGTCCGTTGAAACGTGGTCCCGGTGGTCTGGGATGATAATCCATTCTCGGTCCTGGAATTCTTGGGCCCGGTGGCATTCCTTGGAATTGATTAAATGCTGGTCGGATTCCAGCTGGTTCGGGAAAGTGCTGACCAGCTGGTGGCCCCATATGTGGAGGATGATTTTGTGGGTACTGTGGGAATCGCGGTGGTGGCGCTGCTGGGGGCTGTTGTTGATGACCTGGATGATACATTTGGGGGTTCATCATCGGAGGATTCATCATCGGAGGCCCATTTTGATACATTGGAGGTCTATTTTCAATTATCGGTGGCCTGAATTGTGGATTTTGGTTCTCATACATTGGACCTCGAGTACTAAATCTACAAAAATAAAAAAAAAATACATGTTAGTAAAAATATTAAAAATATATAACCGAAAATTAATTAAATGAATAAAAAAATACCTTGGATTATAATTTACTGGAGGAAATCTTCCTCCACGCATCCCTCTGATTCCACGACCCCGTCCACGACCGCGATAAGCCGGTGGCCTAGAATGCTCCATCGTGACGACATTCTCCAAAGTATCCGGTATGTTGTGATTCATCTTCGGTGGTATAATAGTCCGTTCTGGCTGAAACCGATTTCTTCGTTCCCTTGCCTCTTCACACTCATCCTCCTCCACACCCGGAACACCTCCATTACCGGCGACACGCATATTACTATTAACATTATTCTTTAGTAATTTTTCTCGAAGATCACCCATCGGTACTTGAGATGGATTTTGCTGCATACTTTGATCGTGAATCGGCTCTTCAATGTAATTAACGTGCTCCTCTTGCTCGTAGTATGTACCATGACAATTGGCATTATCAGGATTATAACAATGACTTTGATTATGACTATCAGTCTCATTTCTATACTCAACATTTTCGTCTTCGCCCTCTAAATCGTCGAGAGCATCCGTGACTCCTAAGTCCAGTACATCATCTGTTTCCTCTTCTCCTTTATAGTTATTCTGCTGCTCGAGAATTAAATTGCCAAATATTTTTTATGAATTTTATGCCTATTTTTTTAGACTTTGTAATTTTTTTTTATATTTTATTCTAGTACTATTATTATTTAATAATTATTGTTATTATTATTATTATTATTCTTATAATAATTATATTATGATTATTACTTATTTTAAATAATTAATTTTAAGTATAAAATTGTGATATTGCGAAATAGTGTAATTATAAACAAATATATTTAAGATTTAAAAGTATAAGACTGATAGACATTATTAGAGGACGGCATTATTTCTATGAGCTTTTATGACATTTTTTTTTTCAATTGGCTTATTTTAATGCTTTTGTGATATAATAAGTGAAGTTGTTGAAAAATTAATGTTTCGTGACAAGGAGAGAAGGAAAAAGTGAGACTTTCGAGTGGTACAATTTATGTGCTTACGTGGCTGACTTTTTTTTTTAAGCGCATTTTTGAGCTAAAAGCTTTTCTTGGGTTTTTTTTTCTTTTTTTTTTGTTCTTGGTTTTTTTTCCGATAAATCATTCATCGTTATAATTACAGGGTGTTGATAAAAGATACAGCGAATTATTGTTATATTTTTCTTCAGTGGCATAAAGTATTTATTAAAAACATTTGTTTTTTACTATTTATAAAACACTAAATCCAGATGAAACTTTAAACAATATTCAAAAAAATAAATTCTAAAAAATGAAAATTTATTTATAAAAATAGTTTATGCTACTGCATCCAAAAATACGCAAGTTACATTGATTACATACATTTTTAAAGAAAGAGAGACGCGCGCGTGTTTTACATACTCCATAACAGAGAATCAATTTTTTATTTACATTGATTGATTTTACCGTTTTGTGTAATATTATTCCCATGTAATGAGTATGACGTAATATACTCAATTTCTCCAAAATTTTTTAAAATCTAGTATTCAATATTATTTGACTTGATGTTTTTATAAGCTAATTTTTTTTGCTTATTTTCTTTTGAAATAATTTCTATCTGTGTTGTTTATAGGATTTCATTCAATTAGCGATATAATTGATTGATGATAAATTAATAATAATAAATAATAGCTACGAAATCGATTCAAAAGCTGAGAATGCTTATGTAAAAATATTTTACATCACAATTTTATCAAGTATGGAAAACAATTTTTAACAATACAATTCATACATTCTTTTTTTTTTTTTCAGAACTTTGGAAAATAAAAATAAAAATACATCGGCTAGATATTCATATTTAGCGTATGATTTTCAATTTTTAATACTTTCCCTTGGTCTTAATGAAAATTACTAATCACTCGCCTTAAAAAAAATTTCTTATTATCTTTCACGTTTAAGAGTTTAAATTTTATGCCGAAAACATTCGCTCTCATCAATACAAATTATTATTCAATTACTCGTTTTATAATTTTTTTTTTTTTTTTATGTACACATATTACTTATTTTATTAACAATTCCTATGAGTACTGATCAGCGATGATGAACAAAATGATAAAAGAATAAAAACAAAAAAATTTCTTACGACTATATTCCATTGAGCATCTCAATTAGTGAAAGTATTTTAGAATTAATTTCACCTTTATATAAAAAGAATGTGTAATGGTTTTTTTTTTTTTTTTTTTATAGTTCGATAAAAAAATAAAAAAACGACTTATTATTGATCTAAATAAAATAATTCTTAAACAGTTGAAACACATTCACCCATGCCATTGTTAAATTTGCAAAGTATGTCTTAATTGAGACACACAAGATGTATAATTATATTGACAATACATACAAATAAATAAATCACAAATCTGTGAGAAAAAATTTGTGGGTATCACTAAAAACAGCAAGATAAAAAAAATTAATAGAGCATGACAAAATGTTTTTTTTTTTTTTTTTTTCTTATCTCAGCTCACTCTAATTGAGCCTTTGAGCTAAAAAGGTAATTATTGATTTCATTATCAATAAACTATTTTTTTTCTTCTAAGATAGATTTAACAACTGTATCCTTAAACAATAAGGACAGTTTAAATAGCTAGCTCACCCTATCAACTTCATAGTCATCAGCAAGTAGTGCCTCTTCTTCGTCGTTTCCAAGGTCGTACTCTTCATCTCCAAAATCTTCATCCAGCAACGTATCATCTCTACGCACACAAATAAACGTGTTTTGTTATTTTAACATTATAATTAAACAGATGGGCAAACAATGCACAATATATAATCATTGTCAAATGCTACTTTTCTAACCTGTCAATTATTATAGCGTATAATTAATTACAACTTGACCTACTTTGAAATATTTTTTAATATTAAAACTTACAATTGAATAATTTTATTGTACAGGTAAAGTAATTAATAATAACGAGGGTTTTTTATATAAATAATTAGAGAAATAAAAATAACTTACTGATCTGACATGGTATTCTTTTGGTAAAGGCTGCTCCAAATCGATTATTGTAAATTGTAACCAGCAAACAGGAGAAAAAATGTCTAAGCTAAAAAACTACACCATTCTCAGCGCACCCTGGTGGGTATAATGGTATACAACTATTTGTAGAAGACGAGGTAAAATTCAAATAATCTCATCTAAAGATTAATATCAATAAAGTAAAAGCCTAAAAGCCTCAGTAGCTGCTTATGCTCACTACATATGAAAATTAATTTAGCAGATATTTTATAATAATTTTTTTAACAATTGAATTATATAAAAGAAAATGAGAAAAAAAAAATTGACATTTAGAAAATTAAAAAAATAAAAAATCCAATTTTTTAGAAATAATTTTTCGGAGCAAATTTAATTATTAAAAATTAAAAAATTGTCAAGCAACTACTAACTTTAATGTCATTCACTTCATGTATTTGTATATCTATATTTGTGAATATAGATATAAAAACACATGGGTGAGCATGCTGGTACGTGAGTAGCTACTGAGGCTCTTACCTTAAATAGAACCTTGGAAAATGTATGTGGAGGATAATAAAAACTTTAAATAACTTTCAATGTTAGAAAAAAAATATTATTATTAATTTCTTCAGGTATTTATTTGTATTAAATATATTTTTTTTAATAATATATGTTTATCAACAATATTATAAGAAATAAGCCCTTCAATTAATGTTTTAGTTATATTTTTATGAAAATTAATTTAGCAGATATTTTATAATTTTAAGAATTATTTCAACAATTAAATTGTGTCAAAGGAAAGGAGAAAAAAAAATTGACTTTTAGAAAATTAAATAAATAAAAAAATGCAATTTTTTAGAAATCATTTTTCGGAGCAAATTTATTTATTAAATAAAATTAAAAAATTGTCTAGTGCTAACTTTAATATCATTATATTTTTATGTAAATAACAAAATATATCCGTCACCTGTATTTCTTCCATCAACTAGCGTATTTTACTTTAATTACACATTTATTGTCATAAATTGATTTTATGGATATGATATTTATAATAAATTTGACACGTGAAAAATTAACAACAATTACAAATTTGTAATATTATCAACAATAAAGGTCAATATTTGTTTTTTTTACAACTGTATTAAAATTTGTTTCAACAAATAATTTAAAGTCAACATTTTACTCCATTTTACTCGATTCAATATCATTTCATAGATAAACTGAAATATATATTGAATGTATATTCATTTAAATTTCATCGTAATAGTCAACATGATCACCGGACTTAAACTTGTGATCTTTCAGTACTCCAACAAGACGATTAATTGTTTGATCGGTTGTTAATTGTTTTCTTTCTCTACGTGCATCACTGAATTGTTTTCTTGTTTCATTATCAGCCAATGTTTCTGCTATCGTTCTCAGCATGTCAGTTTCGACTGGACCTGGTGAGTAATTTAAAACATTCACTTCAGGAAATTCTTCAGCAAACACCTATAAAATAATAAAAATTTATCATTTGCTCATTATAAATAAAAATAAATAATGAAAATTAAGTTAGCGTATATTTAATAATTTTTTAACAAATAAATTATGGCAAAAAAAAATTGACATGTAGAAATTTTAAAAATAAAAAAATGAAATTTTTTAAAAATAATTTTTTGGAACCAATTTTTTTATTAAATAAAATTAAAAAATTTTTTAAGTATTTAAAACGATATTAAATTTAGCAGATATCTAACAATTTTTGTAACAATTAAATTATAAAGAAAAATATTCCACAAGTAGAAATTTTAAAGGATAATAAATGCCAATTAAAAAAAATATTTTTTTTGCAAAATAGTTAATTTGTTGTAAAAATTTTAAGAATTGTTAGATGTCTGTCAATTTCAGTATCATATTTTAAAAGCTACTTTATTTTAAGAACTACTTAACTCTAAAATAAAAATCTAATAAATAAAATTCATTACTTTGAAATACATTTCTCGTCCAGCTTTTCCAGAACAATAATATCCCATAGACTTGAAAGGTTTTAATCCACACAGTGACGTTATGTTGATAACAAATTTCTTAGCTTTAACATTTTCATTGAATATTTTCATGAACACAGAGTTTAAAACAGCTGGTGAAAAAACATTTAAATCATAATACTTCCTCCAGTAATCAAAGTCATCCATGGCATCTGTAAATTTTGACAGATCACCAATAGATCCAACATTATGGACAACTACAGCTCGATCATATTCACCAGGATTAACATGCTTGTTAATAATATCTGCAATTCAATAAATAATTTATTAGTAATATAAAACAGTTTTATTGCATGATTAAATAATTAACTCTTACCAGTCAAACGATCTGCTGGAGCTACAGATAAATCAACACTAACGTAATCAACTTGTACGTGATTACGTATTTTACCGGCTGTTTCCTTCAATCCATTTTCATCTCGCGCTAATAATAACAACTTTGAATCTTTATCCAATAATTCGGAAAACGTTATTGCAATTTGACGTCCAATTCCTTTACTTGCTCCAGTTATTAGGAGAAATACTTTTCCAGATAATAACTCTATCGCCATTATTGCTTACTGATGCTCTGATTTGATTATATTAAATCTCAAGCAACAGATCAATGTCGACGTCACCAAAACAACTATAATAATAATAATAATAATAATAATAATAATACCAGTAACACAACGAGAAGAATCAACAGGTGACACAGATCACTTTTTAGTTGTGAATAATTATTTATAATTATAAATAAATTCTTAAAACTTTAATTAAAAAAAATAAATAATGAATAACTGTAAATCCTAATAAAATTTTTATTCTCGGCAATATAATTTAATCAATAAATTTTTTGCTTTTATAAGTGATTTTTTTTATGAAATAAAAAAAAATGATTAGTATTCCAATTGCGTGGCATAATATGTAAGCTGATATAAACATTTATCACTTGTCTTATTTAAATTTTATTTACGAGGTTTATCAATGATTTGTTTCTTAATTTAATTATAAATAAAATTAACTTGAGAAATAAAAACTTAAGTTATTTAAAAAAAAAAAACAATTTTTTTAACAAGTAATTTTTTTAATACACTTCAACAAACAATAAGTACATGATAATCACGTAATAGCAACTAAATAATTGTATATAATAATAATTTTATAATAATATTGTAAATCCCGTCAAGATTGACGAATAATGATGAATTTTATTTATTAGTTTTTAAACTTCAATTCCTTTTGCTTTAGCTTGATTTTGGTATTTTTGACGGTATTCATCCTTGGGGTCGTATTTGGCAGCCAATTGATCCCATAAATCTTTTCTCTGAAAAAATACATTAAAAATATTATTGATGTGGACTATTAGTAATATAACTATTAAATATAGTAGTTTATAATAAATTTTAATAGGTGTTATTTTTTATTTGAAGTTTTAAATAAAAAATAACTTTTTGGGAGTACCTACACGTTCCTGTTTTTTTATAAAACTAGGGCACGTGAAAGTGAAACGGGTTTGAAAGGAATAGTTTCCTTTTAAATATATACACACATACATATGTATAATAATCACAATTTACAGGTGTGTAACATTAATCACATAACTGGTTTTAGTATTAAACCACACATAATAATGTGGATATAATAAAAACAAACGAGCAAAAATCATAATGACATAACAAACTTAATACGTACTTGGTTTACAAGGAACCTGATGATCTTTTCACTCTTTTCTTTCTGTGCAGCAGTACACTTGTCGCAATTGGTAGCAAGGGCGTCAGGCAAATTTTCTAAATTAAAGAAAAAAAACAATTATTAAAGTTATCATTTTTTATTTATTCAATTATTTATACCAAATAATATTTACCCTTCAAATCCTTTCCCTCTGACGTACATTTTCCCGTGCCCATTAAACACTTAACGTAGCCCTCCAAAAGTCGCTTATTTTCAAGAATCTTATCAACATCAATATTATCCCATTTATTAGTGTATGCAGATAGGGATACTGCTACAACCGCAAGAAAAACTAGGGCAACCTAATGAACATAAAAAAATTTTATATTTTATAAATTTTTATATAATACTGAAATCAGCAAAAATTTGAAAATTTTTACCTGAATTTACCAAATAAATTATGGCAAAAAAAAAAATTATAAAAATTGACATGTAGAAATTTTAAAAAGGAAAAAATGAAATTTTTTAAAAATAATTTTTTCTAATGACACTGAAGTTAACAGACATTAAACATTTTTTTAGAATTTTATAGCAATTAAATTATTCTAAAAAAAATTTAATTAAAAAATTCCACATGTGAAATTTAATAAAAATTATAAGTGAAAATTTTTAGAAGCATTTTTTTCTTGTAATTGATTTATTATTAAAATTTTTAAAATTCACTGCTGACGGTTAACTTCAGTATTATTTTTTCTAACAAATTTTTTTATTAAATAAAATAAAAAAATTGTAAAGTGAGTGTTGAGTTTAATATCATACATTTTTTCACAAATAAACTATAATAAAAGAAATATTTTTATAAATTCGAACTTATAATTGTTGTTTAATTTTGACTTGTGGAATTATTTTTTACAATAATTTAATTGTTATAAAAATCTAAAAAATTTTCAGATGTCTATAAACTTCAGTATCATATTTTGATGATGCTAAAAATATTCTCACTTATAATTTTTTTTTAATTTACACATGTAATATTTTTTACTAACTATGATTTAATTGTTATAAAAATCTAAAAAGTTATTAGGTGTCTGCCAATTTCATTATTATTAAATTTTCCAATAATCAATTATTTCAATTAAAATATAAATAAAAATAAGAAAATATCTTAAAATAATTGGAAATAACAAAACTGATTTAAAGATTATATAAGTCTAAGTAAACATAAATCTAACGTAGATGTAATTACCTTCATGTTGGCGCGTTAACAAGAGATATGAAAGAACCAAGAGCAAGAAGTAACTGATGCTGAGTCTGGAGTGTCTCCTCCTTTATATTGGCCGCCGAAGGGTCCTAATTCGCCGAACTCTCTCACTCTTTTCATATATTTCTCATTCCATTGACTCGTGGGTATGACTGGGCTGATGGGGATCATGTAAAATGTTATTTACACTGTCGTTGGCATACTGATGAGATCTATCTTTCTATATAATAGCTAACTTATATATATGTTAAATCATCTCTGTATTCACTATTCACTAACCAGTATCTCGTATCTTCGGTCTCGTAAGAAAAGTTTCTGCGTCATTCTCACTTTTTTGCATACCGCTAATTTTTTTCGCCCATTTGTCGGCTTTTTTTTGCTAGCACCCATTGAGAAAAATATTATGAATCACTAATTATTATTGGCAAATTAATAGACGGTCAAAGAGCAACAATTCTTATTGATAAATGAATTGAGAGGTACTAATAATATTGAGATGCATTGTTAGTTATTATTGTAATTTTTTTCACACCTTTTTTTTTTGTAAATATCTATATACTTCTGTTTTATTTATGCAATTTACGTGTTACGTATCGTTTCTTTGAATACTTTAATGCTGTACAAATTTATGTATATCTTACGAAAATTTTAAATACTTCTCTTTAAAATGCTTTTACCAATCTTTAGATTTTTTTTTTTAATGATTTCAAGTATTGAAATTGAAATTTTATTTTATTATTTACTAAATTTTTTTTGCAATTTATTTCTTCTTGTTATAACTATAATTATTGTTATTTTTATAGCAAAAATAATTATAATACTAAAGTTAGCTGACGTTTTTAATTTTTTTTTTTATTATTAAATTCAAACTAATTAATATTTTTAAAAAATTGCACTTATAGTTTTTCAAATTTTTTTTGTAATAACTGTTTCAATAAAAAAAAATTCTAAAAATTTTTAGATGTCGGCTAACTTAAACAATAATAAAGTTAGCCGACATTTTTTATTTTTTTATTTTGCTTAATTTATTAAATTATAACTAAAAAATATTTTTAAAAAATTGCATTTATAGTTTTTGAAGTTTTTAATAAATGCAAAATTTTATTTTTAATTTTTCAGTTATAATTTTTTAATAAAAAAAATCTTAATAATTTTTAGATGTCGGCTAATTTAATTTACATTAATAATTAATATTTTATTTTATTATTTATTAAATTTTTATCGCAATTTATTTCTTCTTACTATAACTATAATTTTTGTTATTTTTAATAATAATAATTATTATTATTGTTATTTTTATAGCAATAATAATCATAATAATAATAATAATTTATTATTATTTTACAGATATAACTAATGTACATATAACTTTTTTCTTTGATCTTGACATGTGCGAGAGACTTCGATGCCAGAGATGAAGAATGAATCATCTCACCGCAACTCTTACTACAAAAGAACTTTTGAACTTTGAATAGTCGTAATTATTTTACGTAGAATTTTTTAAAATTTGTTCTCTGTACGTAAAATATCTAACTACTTCTCATAAAATTATAATTTGTTAAAAAAAAAAAATAATTTTAATTTATATTTAAAGATCAAGATAAAATTGTATAATTTTAAAATTACAAAAAAAAAGCAGTGTCCGTGAACGCATTGTGTGAATTATTAGATCCTGTATATGAAGGTTTTTATGTAAACGATTAAACTGCAAAAAAAGGTATCATCATGGACAGTGATATAAATAAGTAATGAATGATTCTCGAAACTTGATATGGTCTCTACAGATAAAAAGTTGATAAAATTAGACACGTGTTCTAGCATCGGTTGAGTTGGATTACGTCGAAATAAAGGAGTTAATTTTTTGATATTGTGAAAAAATTCAAATTAGATTGTAAGGAAGGACAACTGGTTTTCGTAACAGCAAAATAAAAAAAAACATTTCTTTAAAAAGCTAATAAATAATATAACAAAAAAAGTAATAATGAACCGTGAATTAACTGACCTTCGGATACAAGTTTCTGTAGTCAAATCAGTCAGGATTCTCAACACCGACCTCGAGAATCAAATGACCGTGAATTCTTACTTATATTTTATTTGTTCAAAAAATTACATTAAAAACTAATTATACTAGTTAAACGTATTTTTGCTACGCTTCAATAATTGTTTATTGAATTTGAATTAAATAATTTTTGTTTAATTAAAAACTTGAAGGTAATTAGTTTTTTCATTTAAAGGAATCTATCGGATGATTGAAAAATTTTTGTTGCATAACAGTTTAATTGGTATTGAGTCGTGAAGAAAAATATTTATAAAAATATAAGTTACGAAATAAATTACAAAGCAAAGTATCCACAAAATTTCCAGCCGTTTGGGTTTTTCCACCGTTGGGATATCGTATAGATTTATATGTAAATAAGAGCACTCTAATAAGAATAAAAATATAACACAATAATAATATTCATGAATTTTTTTTATTAAAAAAAAATTTCAAAAAAAATACAAACTTAAGTAGGTGTATTTTCCCATATTATTAAGATTGATGAAACTAATTAATCATCAACGTAAAATAAAAAAATTTTTGACCGCTGAATCTGACTCACATCTGCAATAATAAAAAATAAAAAAATAATTAATGATTTCCTAATTTATGAACATAAAAATAAATTTTTTAAAGACTTAAGATTTTATGATAATAATCGTGCGATACATAAATAGATTGCACTTATAAACGGCATTATCGTCCATATGAAAGGAAAATTGATTTCCAATTGTATACGACTATTGCAGTTACGAAATAAAGTAAATTAGACTTTTTGAAATAGTAGTAGAGAATTTATCCCGTCAAATTAGATGAGTTAATGATTTAGCCTTTCGTGTCACCGATTATAATCTGCATACAAATAATTTTGTCTATTTAGTATACACGTCATACAGTCATACGTCGTTATGAATATATAAGTAAATTTAATGAGACATTGTTTATAGATCTTGGTATATTAATAGGTAGTAAAATAATAAAAAAAATCATTTACAATTCTAATATTGAGACATTAACAAGGCTTATTTATCCTGAATTATCATCTGGACTTAAACTGTGAACTTTATTAAAAATTTTATTGCTGAATCTGTAACCAAATAATCAATACTTTCACTTTAATTTTTTTAAACAATAGTAACAAAATATAAACACAGAAAGAATTTACTTTTGTAAGTCTTTTTAATTTTCAATTTCTCTTGACTAAATTACTCAGAAATAGTGAAGCGATTTTGCTCACGGGATTATTTGTTATTGAGACAATAGTATTTTTTTAGTAATTAAGAATTTTTGTATAAAAATAATACGGGGAATTATAAGTGTCACTCTAATCAAAGAAACTATTGTACTTATTATAATTATTATTATAATAAAAGAAATAACTTACATGTAAAAAGTTGCAATGGCTTTCCGCCTTGTGTAGTCAATCTAATCTGTAAATAAATTTTACTTTAGTAATTAATCGACTTACAGTCAATCAACTTAATAATTTTGGTAAATTTTAATCAGATTAGCAAATACAAAATAAAATCACGGCATTCATAGATCTTGGTGGTAAAATATCTCATCATAAACGAGTAATAAATTTAATTTATTTATTAAAAAAAAATTGTGACTTACCAAAATAACATGATCCAATTATATATATTCTTTACTTTGGTTTGATAAATCTGCAATAAAATTTCTACTTTAGAAAAGTTACATTAAATTCAAGAAATTAATCAACTTTGATTTTAATTAATCAGTTAGCAAATACAGAATAAAATCACGGCATTCATAGATCTTGGTGGTAAAGTATTTCATCATAAACAAATAATTGACTTTATTAATCTTGTGAAAAAAATTTTGACTTACCAAAAAAGAAGAAAAACAATCGTCCGATTGGTTGCATCTTTTTATTTGACGAATCTGTAATAAAATTAATCTGTTAATAAAATTTTATTTACTTCAACATACCAGTTAATTTTAGTATTGATTAGTCAGTTAGCAAATACAAAATAAAATCACGGCATTCATAGATCTTGGTGGTAAAGTATTTCATCATAAACGAATAATTTACTCTATCTGGTTTGAAATAAAAAATTCTGACTCACCTAAATAAAACATTCGTCTGATCGGTCGCATCCTCTAGTGTAGGAATCTATAAAAAAATTAGTCTATTAATAAAATTGTATTTATTTCAATAAACTAGTTATAATTTGTGTTTCAATTAGTCAGTTAGCAAATACAAAATAAAATCACGGCGATCATAGATCTTGGTGGTAAAGTGTTTCATCATAAACGTGTAATAAATTTTAAAAAATTTATTAAAATAAAATTTCAACTTACCAAAATAAAAGAATCCAATTAGCAGCATTCTCTAATTAGATGAATCTGTAATAAAATTATTTTATTAGTAAAATTATTCCTAACTAATTAAATTAATCAATTTTTGCTTGAACTAATCAGATTAGCAAATACAAAGTAAAATCATGGCAATCATAGATCTTGGTGGTAAAGTATTTCATCATAAACAAGCAATGAACTTTAATTTAAAAAAAAAATCCAACTCACCAAAATAAAATAGCCATCCGATCGGTCGCATGTTTTAGTTCTATGAATCTGTAATAAAATTATTCTATTAGTAAAATTTTATTTAATTCAATAAACCAATTAGTTTGGATTTTAATTTGTCAGTTAGCAAATACAAAATAAAATCACGGCATTCATAGATCTTGGTGGTAAAGTATTTCATCATAAATGTATATATGTTAAATAAAAATTAATTAATATTTTTTATATTTACCATTAATAGTGATTGACAAAATATGGATTAGTAGCTCCAGACTTTTCGGGTTTCATAATTGGATGAATGTCCTGCAAATAAAAAAATTATTGTTTAGTAAAATAGTTATCAATTGACTGGTTAATTAGATCAATAATTACCTGATTTATTAAATAAATCGCAGTGTTTAAAATATGATTAATTTACTTATAACTAAAAGTTTGAAAACTAAAAATACTTAGTACTATTAAAAAAAAAAATATCAGACTCTTTCAATAGTCAAACAAGAATAATTAAAATGAATTCTTATAATATATTAAATACTCAAAATCTAAATAGTGTTGATTATTAATTAATAATTAAGTTAATTATTTTTGTTTTACTATTGTTGAATATACGGTTGAAAATTAGTTTCAATTATTTTATTAATAAAATTAGCAAGTTTAATCAGCTTTTTTAGGAGCACGGGTCTTCTTAGCCGGGAGTGGTTTCTGCGATCGGAGGACAGCACTTGCACGACGAAGAGCTGGCTGTAATTACACAATAATAATCATTTAAATAAATGCATACACAATTGTTATTAAAATAATTAAATAAATACAATTTTAATTACGAACCTTGATAAGATCACGACGGTATTTGTTGCATGATAACAAGTTCTTCAACTTGTAGAGAGAACGACGAGCTCCGGCTTTCATTGTCCGTCTGATGGTAGCTTTAGCTGGCTTGGTGGCAGCCTTTGGCTTCTTGTAAACTACCGTGAAACCTTTCTTGTCTGGAGTGTCGACAATTCCAACGGTTTTGCGGTGGACCAGACCTGAGTAGCGGTAGCTGCTCAAGTTTGTCAAGTTGTTTGGCTCCTGAATAAAATAATTAATTATTTATCTGTCTAAGCTCATAGGTTTAGCAGTTTGATGTTAGATAAAAAAAATTTACCGTTGAGAAGGGTTTGCTGATGTTTCTCTTCTTGAGAAGAAAAGCATTGTTGTTACGGATGATCATCCAGTTTAAATGGGACGACATGTTGACTATCTAGAATTAATTTGTAATTAATAAATTTAATTTATACAAGTCTAAATTTAAGGTTAGAAAATTGTTTCTTAAATTTATTCACAATGAAAAAAAATTATTGTCAATTTAAAAAGCAGTTTATTGATTAAAAAAAAAATAAAATTATTTATTTAATAATGCATTATTTAAAAATATAAAATAATTGTTAAATATCGACAGTAATTTTGAGGTTAACATTGACACATGTCCAGAGTACTTTCTAATTCACAAAATTATTCTCTTTAAACTAAAATATTTATAAAAAAATTATAGCGATTTGTTCTTAATTGATAATAAAAATAATTTTCCTAATTGATATTTAATTAATTAGAGCAAATAAAACGAATATAAATAAACATACCTCGTGTGTGTGAGACACAGCAAAAGAAGAGAAACTTGAGAAAGAACGATGTTTGAAGGAAATGATCTGACAATATCATGTTTGTTAAAAAAATTTTTTTTATATTTTCGACGGAAAAAAAAAGATTAAAAGTGATGTAAAAAATAAAATAATAATTATTCAATGATTATTTTATTATAATTTATAATTTAATAATTTTCAAATTAATAAATAAATTGTTCTACTGATTTACTGATTTTGGCGTCAGATTATAGAGAGTATACGCGGGACAATTTGAATTTCATTTTCTACGACTTGTTACGTTGCTGTTTTATCGGTAACATGGATTGGAGAATAATTTTCTAAAGAAATTTAAAGTAGATGTGTAACATATTTTATTTAAATATTTATTGAAATGGCAAGTGAAGAACATAAAAAATTAGCAGCATTAATTAAAGAAACACATAATCGCTTAAGAGAAGATTATCGCAAGTACGGATCAAATGAAGCTTGGAAACGTCATCTTGCAAGAACTGATGATTTACAGGTTAGATTTAAGAATTTTATTTATTGTTATTTTTATTTAAAAATAATAATGAAATTAGCAGACATCTGTCATTTTTTTCGATTTTTGTAACAATTAAATTATTTTTAAGAAATTATAATAAAATTAATAATAAAATTCCTGATTTAAAAATTACAAAAAATGACAAGCGTAAATTAAAAAAAAATTTATTTTTTTTATAATTTATTTGCAATAAAAATTATTTTTTAATATCATTAAAAATAAATAAAAAATTTTTTTAATTATTAGAACTACGCGGTATCGATGCAACAACTAGCAACGAATCATTGGAGTATCAACAATAACATCAAACAAGTGACAGATAAAAGCAATTGTCGAATTCGATGGATTAAAAATAGATGTTACGAATATTTCTTTGGTGGAGGTAAAAGTAAATATTATGAACGTGAAAGAGATATTATAAAAAAATTAAATCTCGATGACCTGAATGATTTACCTGAAGAATCATTGAGTAAAGATAATAAAGTAGTAAATGAAAGGAAAATAAAAATGTTAGATGTAGGCAGCTGCTATAATCCTTTTGCTGATGATGAAAACCTAGATGTTACTGCTATTGATCTAGTTCCAGCAAGTGATCAAGTGTTTCAATGTGATTTTTTAAATGTCAATCTGGGAGATGAGACACTCTTAAGTAAAGATAATAAAAGTGTGATAGAGTTTGAAAAGAAATCTTTTGACGTGTGCATATTTTCTCTGCTGCTGGAATATTTTCCTTGTCCAGAGCAAAGGTTTAGATGCTGCGAGAAGGCTTATGAGCTGCTAAAGGACTCGGGACTACTGATAATAATAACTCCAGACTCTAAACACGTCAATGCGAACGCTAAAATAATGAAATCCTGGCGATATGTACTTGCTAACTTGGGATTTATGAGGATAACTTATGAAAAATTGCAACATATTCATTGTATTTGTTATAGAAGGTGTGTAAAAAAAGACACTGCTGTCAGGTGGGTAACTCTGCAGAAAAATCTATCAGTTGATGATGTTTTGTTCAATTCAAACGGGAAAATTTTTATACCACAAGATTTCCAAACAGTTTGTGTGGAAGACAAAGACAAAGCGTCGAATGTAAAGGTTGCAAAAGAAGACTTAGCAGATGTTTTTAATGAATTACCAGATGTAATTGACAAATGATTTGCTGCTTTATTTTATTATTTTGAAAGCTCTCTTCAAGAGAAATACAGGTATGTTTTTAGTTAAGGGGCACGCAACCAGTGTGACAGCTTAAAAGAAAGGCGATTTTTGGGAATTAAAATAAAAAAAACTTCTGAATGAATTGTTATGACATTAAAGCTAGCTTTAACTTGACCAATTTTTAATTTGATTTAACAATTAAATTAATTCTAATGAATTATTTTTAAAAAAATTGCATTTTTAATTTTTTAAAATTTCTCCATGTCAATTTTTTTTGCCATTATTTATTTGTTAAAAAAAGTTCTAAAAATTATTAAATATCTGCTAAATTAATGAAAATGAATTGTTTTAAAATTTTAAGGATATATTAATATATATTTTAAGAATATACAGTAAAATTTTTGAAGAAAAAAATTAAATATTTTCCGAGTTACACGCGATCTTCGACGGCGCTAAAAAAAAAAAGGTCCTCCACTGTTGGAGTGATTCCGACCTTCTCCATGGATGAAACAATGACCCTAGGTTGAAAAAAAAATATCAAAAATTAACAAAATAGTGGTGTTTTTAAAAAAAAAAAGTTGAATTTTACCCAAAATTTTGATCATTTTTAGCCTGCCAAAACTCGATTTTTGATCAGATAATAAAAACTGGAGGATCATTGCATGAAGAATTATATACAGAACATGTAGAAAAAAAATTGGTAGTGATCGGATCATTTGTCTTCGAGTAATCACTCCAACAAAATTGAAAAAAGCTGTTTCGAGAAAAACGCGTTTAAAGATAAAATGATCCTATTCTAACTGCCGAGCGGCTACTCTTTAAATGGCTGTAACTCAAAAACTACTTGAGATATTGATTTGAAATTTAAATATGTTATTTTTGAAAGTACAATCTATCGAAATATGAAAAAAAATCGATTTTTTGAAAATTTCACACTGATTGTGCCCCATACTTTTTATTTAAAATTTGACAATGGCTTTGCCAATGTTGCTCCCACGGAGCATGTGTAAAAACGCATTAAACATATTTTCGAAACCTTCTGTTACAGTTTCTCGATAAACAAGTTTTCCTTCGCGGATCCATTGGAGATTTTTTTCAAATGCTTCCATTGACCGATTTTTCCAGCGCAACATGAGAAATCCTTCTACTTTCAATTGCTGCATTACCATAGCAGGTTGAGTGATAGTACACTTGGGCAAAGCGTCAGGATTAGCATTGTATGCTGAGATAGAACCACACACTGAAACTCGCCCATATGGATTCATTTGGTAAATAACTGCGCTCGATATTTCTCCACCCACCTGAATAAGTTAAATACACAGTATTTAGTTGACTTTTGAAATTAAACACCGAGAAGCTGCAAGCAAACTAAATTTAAATACAAAACATAAATAGTAATAACAATTGCTTACATTGTCAAAGTAACAGTCAACTCCTTGGGGAGCAACTTTTTTCAACTCTGTCGCTACGTCTTGAGTATTGTAATTAATCGCATGGTCGAATCCCAGGTCGCTGGTAATCCATTTACATTTTTCATCACTGCCAGCGATTCCTATTACTTTCATTCCCAAAATTTTTCCAATTTGCCCGACATGAGATCCTACAGCTCCTGCTGCTCCTGACACAACCAAAGTTTCTCCTGCCTTTGGCTTGCAAATTTCCATCAATCCAAAATATGCTGTATGCCTGGAGAATTTATGTAAAGTAATAAAATGACCATACTCAAACTCTAACAAAATGTTTAGAGCGTTTATGTATTGAATTAATAAATTTAGTTTTTTAACCAAGAAATCTCTATCAGATGATTTTTTTATTTACAGAATTATTGCAGTGAATTACCCAATAAGTCCTAGCACACCAAGGCCAAGTGATATCGGTAAATCTCCAGTGTCCGGTAGTAATTCTGGCTTTAATTCCAACAAACTATCTTCATCAAAATCTTTCATATTAATTATTGTATGTGTTCTCCAGCCTAAATGTCCAACGATTCTTTTCCCAACTGGATAATTTGCATTTTTAGATTCAACAATGATCGCAATTTGTGTTCCAATCATCGTAGAGTTCAACGGGGCTTGTTTTATGTAAAGTCTCATGTATGGATCAACTGATAAATATTCAGCTTCAACCAAAATTTCTACAACAGAAAGATTTTTATTATGCTTGAACTGGCTAATTTTTCCGATAGGTCGATAGGTCAATATTAAATTAAAGAGTACCTCCATTTTTCAGCGATGGTAATTCTTCATTGATTAATTTTAAGTCTGTAGACTTTGGCTCTCCTTCAAAATACTTGACAACAACATATTTTTTTGCTACTACCATCGCTGTATAAAATAACACTACAATGCTAGATACGAATTATCTAGATGTAAGTTGTCGGGAATGTGCAGTAGAGATAACTTGGAAGGGGCTGAGACCATGTGATTCATTATTTAATTGTCTATGATTAAATGTGATGATATAAAATTTTAAATAATAATTGCTAATCAAATTTCAATGTGAATTTAATTTTTTCATCTATTTTCTTGAGTTTATCAGATACATTACAGTAATTTTACAAACTGATGGTTATACTTTAACAATTGCTTTTCCTAAATTTTTTCCATGCAGCATATCAACAAATGCATCAAACATGTTATCAAAACCATCAGTCACCGTTTCGTGATACACCAATTTTTCCTCTTGGATCCACTGAAAATTTTTATTAAAACTTTCTCGGAACCGGTCCATCCAGCGAATGGTAATGAAACCTTCAACTTGTAATTGATTGTCCAAAATAGTTGAAAATACTTCTGTACATTGAGGTAAACTGCCAGGATCTTCATTGTAAGCTGATATTGAACCGCAAATCGAAACTCGGCCAAAGGGATTCATTTGATGCATTACTACGCTTGAAATTTCTCCACCCACCTGTTGAGTGAAATAAAAATTACAATTAAATAAAATTATTAAATTCTAAATGAATTACATTGTCAAAATAGCAATCGATTCCATTTGGGGCGAATTTTTTTAATTCTTCAGCTACATTTTGCGTTTTGTAATTAATCGCATGGTCAAATCCTAAATCTTTAGTGATCCAGTTACATTTTTCATCACTACCGGCGATTCCTATTACTTTGAGGCCCAAAATTTTTCCAATTTGACCAACATGTGAGCCCACAGCACCAGCAGCTCCTGAGACAACTAAAGTTTCTCCAGTTTTCGGCTTGCAAATTTCAATAAATCCAAAGTATGCAGTATTTCTATATCAATTAACATATTTTTAAACTTCAGACATTATTTATTATTATTAATATAAAATTATTTTTTTTTTTTTAATTAATAGTTACCCGGGATGTCCTAGGACCCCTAGAGCAAGGGACAGAGGAAGATCTTCAAAGTCAGGAAGAAGATAAGGCTTTATACTATAAACGGTATTCTCAGAAAAATTATTTAAATTAATAATAGTGTGAGTCCTCCAACCGATACGCCCGACGACTCGGCTTCCCACAGGATAATCTGGATTTTTCGACTCAATAATTTTAGAAACTTGAGCTCCGATCATCGTTGAATTCAATGGTAGTTTGTTGCTAAAGAATCTCATGTAAGGATCTACCGATAAGTATTCAGCTTCTACCAAATATTCTGAAATTTTTTTAAACATAATTTGTAGATTAATATTAATTAATATTTTTATTAAACAAATACCTCCGTCTTTAATAGGCGGTAATTCTTCTTCTACTATTTTAACATCTGTTGCTTTGGGTTCCCCTTCAAAGTATTTCACAATTACAAATTTTTTTGCAATAACCATTTTAAACTTAGAGTAATTGAGTGTTTATTTTACTGCGCACCGGTTATTTGTAAACTAACGCAAGATACCAATTTATTTACAAGTGGATAAAGTATACGAGACATAACATCATGTGATTCACTTTCATACATTGAATGTACACGAGATTAGTTATATTTATCTATATATTTTCATGAAGTAATTAAATTATCATTTTTATCTAAATTTATTTTTAAACTAAAAAATAAGTAATTTTATATCAATCCAAAAAACTGGGTAATATATTTTTTTAATTGATATTTTTTGATAATTTTTCTGCTAGAAATTTAATTTTAAATAAAAAAATAAATTAAAGATATATAATTAAACATAAATTTATTTATACAATTTTTTTTAAAAATCGCTTTTTATAAATGAAAACAAAATTAGTATATTTATAAAAAAAAAAAAAATTAATCAAGGTTTTCAAAAAATTTCAAGTCAACAAAAAATTTTTATTGAAAAAAAATCAAAATAAAAAAAAATTTGGTAATATTTTTCTCTTTGATAAACGTATCAAACTTTTACAATGGCTTTTCCAGTATTTTGACCTTTCAAAATACCTACAAAGGCATCAAACATTTTATCAAAGCCCTCTGTTACAGTTTCATGATAAACCAATTTGCCTTCATGGATCCACTTAAGATTCTTCTGGATTCCTTCCATCCAGCGATCCAGCCAACGCATCACCATGAATCCCTCTAATTTTATTTGCTGAGTTACAATAGGCGGCTGTATTATAGTACACTTGGGAAGTGAATTGAGTTCAGCGTTGTAAGCAGAAATAGATCCGCATACTGCCACACGTCCGTAAAGATTCATTTGGTAAATAATTGTGCTGGATATTTCTCCACCCACCTGTTAATCAAATACACACATTAGCAGTGTACAAATAAATTCAACCTTGTCATAGTAATTAAATAAAAATTTACATTGTCAAAATAACAATCGACTCCATCTGGGGCGAATTTTTTTAATTCTTCAGCTACATTTTGTGTTTTGTAATTAATTGCATGGTCAAATCCTAGATCTTTGGTGATCCATTTACATTTTTCATCACTACCGGCGATTCCTATTACTTTGAGGCCCAAAATTTTTCCAATTTGACCAACATGTGAGCCCACAGCACCAGCAGCTCCTGAGACAACTAAAGTTTCTCCAGTTTTCGGTTTGCAAATTTCAGTAAATCCAAAGTAGGCAGTATTTCTGTAATTTTATAAAGAAAGTTGTTTATAATTTATTCCTTATGCTTATAAGCACATCTTCATATTATACTATTCATGAGAATAGAGACAAAGGTGTCAGGTTATTACTCAATTTTTAATATTCCATTGAACTCTTTCAAGGAATCTACAAAACTGTGTTAACAATTGCTTACATAAATTATGTTACGTCAATTTAAATAAACACATTTTCTCTATTTAAAATTTCTTTGAAAGAAACATAAAAAAAATTAGAATAAATGAACTGAACAGTGCAAATTAAGTAATAAACTGCCTTATTTGTTTTTATTCCCGTGGATTAATACCATTATTTTTTTTTTTTTATTACTGACTAATTTAAGTCGCATAATAATACTGGAAATAATATCCTCTATACTAGTTTCAGTTTTTATAAACAAGTTACTTAATATTATTTTCTTAAAAAAAAAATACTAAAATTGGCAGACACCTTAACATTTTTTAAATTTTTATAACAAATCAATTATGATAAAAAAAATATTTTTGAAAATTCACGGAAATTAATTTAGCAGACTTTTATTAATTTAAAAAATTTTTTTAACAAATAAATCATAGCAAAAAAAATTGACATGTAGAAATTTTGAAAAATTAAAAATGCAATTTTTTTTGGAACAATTTTGTTTGTTAAAAAATTGTCAAGTGACTGCTAACTTTAATGTCATTGAAAATCCGCGTTAATTTTTTTAAATTTCTACATTTGGAATTTTTTTCATAACAATTTAATTTATTATAAAAATTGTAAAATTTCTGTTGACCAGTATCTTCTTTAAAAAAAATTTTTTCAACATTTATTTTCTGTATTATGATAAAAATAAAAAAAAAAATTACCCCGGCATTCCCAGCATACCAAGAGCAAGTGACGGTGGCAAATCTCCAAAATCTGGTAAAACATAAGGTTTAAAATTCAACATTCCCTCCTCTTCAGTACTGTTAGCATCGATAATGGTATGTGTTCTCCATCCTATATGCGCCATTATCCTTTTACCAACAGGATAATCTGGATGTCTTGACTCGATTATTTTAGCGATTTGGAAACCGATCATCGTTGAATTTAATGGGTATCTCATTGTGTAACGTCTCATGTAGGGGTCCACAGATAAATATTCAGCTTCCACCAGATACTCTAATTATCAAAAAATTAATAATAATAATTTGCTCATAAATACATCACAATAATTTTCATAAAAACTTACCTCCATCTTTAATTGCCGGTAATTCCTCTTGTACTAATTTTAAATCAGTCGGTTGAGGCTCTCCTTCAAAATATTTAGCGATAATATATTTTTTGGCAGTTACCATGATTTTTATTTACTGCCGCTACTGTTTTGTTAAAATGTTAGTACGTTGTGGGTTTAGTTACTTGACGGGCGTGCCGAGTGTTAACTTAATCAAAGATAATATGTTGAATGAGTATTTATATAGACGTGGTAACTCTACAGATAAAAAACGGATGTAGAAAAGAGTGGGACTTAAGCACCAGACTCACTTAACTCTCTTATAATGTCGCTGCGTCATTGTAATAAGTTTAACATGTATAAATATTTTTAATTGATAAAATATGTAACAGTAATAGTCATTTATTCATTACATATTAATTAAAATTTTATGTATGAGCAACAATTATTAATCTTATTCCTGGTAACTCATTGTATTTTTTATTTTTATTACCATGATTAGTATTTAAAACTTTTAAATACCGATTTAAGATTAATATAATGCACAGAAAAAAAAAATTCTTGACTGGAGGGTAAATTTTTTTGGCCCAAGAAAATATTAAGGAAGATTAAAAATTTCTTGAATGAAGTCAATCAAATTTGAGCCAAGAAAATTTCTTCTTGCTCCAAAATAACTTGTCTTCCTTAAAATTTTCTTTGTGCAAGAAGTTTTTTTTTCTGGGTGAGACTCAATATTACAAATTTCTCATATTGAAATTTTTATGTCTCCAAATTAATAAGTAAAATTAATTTTGCTTTATATAATCTTGAATTAAGGAAGAATATTTATACACTGAGAAGAAAAATACTTCTTTTAAGAATTTTTCAACATTTCCAACAATATACTTTTTTGTCCGGAGAAATCTTTCTTGTCTGTAGAATTACGCTGGAAAAAAAATTAATTTGAATCAAAAGAAAAATTCTTGAACCAAGGAAATAATTTTGAAGAGCTTTATTGTCTTGAATCACGTAAAATTTCTTAGTTTAATAATTTATTACTTAAATCAAGAAGATGAAATTCTTCAAAATTATTTACTTGATTCAAATAAATTTTTTTTTCCGTATTGTCGAATTGATTAAAATAATTTTGATATTCAAGTGAAGCCATCCGTTTGTTTGTTAACAATAATGGAAACATGCATCGATATTCTATAGTCAAAAAATTAAATTAAATTGTTATATAATTATTGAATTTTTTATAATTTATTAAACTGAATATATTACATGCTTTTAGTATTAAAGTTTTTAAGAATAAAATAATTGACTATATTTAATTTAGATCTTTAACTTATATCAACAACTTCAAAAATTATCTTAGTCGAAGTCTCTTCAGTTGAATCGAAAATATTAAAGCGCTTAAGTATGAAATTAAAAATTAAAATATTAAGCTTTACTCTGCTATATTTAATAAATTAAAATAATTATTATTCATACAGAACATATAGTGTAAATGAAAATAGAGTACTACATCTCTAAAGAAAGTACTTGATTCATGTAGTTTGTGCTTCTTTTCATATTATTTTATTACTTGGTGCAAATTGTATACTTTACTTGCCATTTGGTAATTATCACCTTGGAAAAAAAATACCTATCTAATTTAAACTAATCTAATCAACATAATCGAACACTTGTTGATAAAAATACACTAAAGTATGGAAGAAATAATCTTTTTGTTGTTTTGGTTATTTATTCAAAGCATTAAAAACATTCTTTGTAAGATTATGACATACTAACTAATACATTGTAATAATTGAAACATAATAAGAATAAGGAATTATAATAACGTCATAGCAAAATATATTAAAAATGTGAGATGATAAACAATATCAAAATATCCTCCACCAATAATAGTTTATATAAATCTTAAAAATATATTCATATATTCAGAAACACGTTAGTGTCTCGCACCAAGTATGCGTGGAAAAAATGTTTGCTATATTATTTGAAAAAGTGATTAAGTAATTTTATAAAAGAAATAAATCAGACTTTAACGATAGCTTTCCCGATATTTCCACCCCGGAGCATTTGCGAGAATGCGTCGAACATATTTTCGAATCCTTCTGTTACAGTTTCGCGATACTTGAGTTTCCCTTCTCGAACCCACTGGAGATTTTTTTCTACTCCTTCCATCAAACGATCTTTCCAACGAAGCCACTGAAATCCTTCTACTTTCAATTGCTGCATAACCATAGCAGGTTGAGTGATAGTACACTTGGGCAAAGCGTCAGGATTAGCATTGTATGCTGAGATAGAACCACACACTGAAACTCGCCCATATGGATTCATTTGGTAAATAACTGCGCTCGATATTTCTCCACCCACCTGAATAAGTTAAATACACAGTATTTAGTTGACTTTTGAAATTAAACACCGAGAAGCTGCAAGCAAACTTAATTTAAATACAAAATATAAATAGTAATAACAATTGCTTACATTGTCAAAGTAACAGTCAACTCTTTGGGGAGCAACTTTTTTCAACTCTGTCGCTACGTCTTGAGTTTTGTAATTAATCGCATGGTCGAATCCCAGGTCGCTGGTAATCCATTTACATTTTTCATCACTGCCAGCGATTCCTATTACTTTCATTCCCAAAATTTTTCCAATTTGCCCGACATGAGATCCTACAGCTCCTGCTGCTCCTGACACAACCAAAGTTTCTCCTGTCTTTGGCATGCAAATTTCCGTGAATCCAAAATATGCTGTGTTCCTAAATTAATTTTAAACATCATTATCATCAATGAAGTATTATAATTTATTTTTTCATAAATTTACACTAAAAAAAATTAACTTGAATCAAAAGAAAAATTCTTGAATCAAGTAAAATTTATTTCATCTTTAGAAAAATTTCTCAGTTTGAGAGTTTTTCTACACAAATTAAGACTATAAAATTCTTCAAAATTACTTTCTTCATTTATTCCCTGATTCAGAAAAATGATTTGAAATGATTACCTTCATGTTAATTGTATATCTATATAATATTCAAATGCGAACCATTTAAATTATTTCAAATCATTTAAAATTAGATTTCTTAATCAGGGTTTGAGTTAATTTTTTTAAAAATAATTATCAAAAAACACTTGTATTTTTAAACTCACCCAGTGTTACCAAGCACTCCCAGGCCAAGTGATACCGGTAGATCATCAAGGTCAGGTAGAAGATATGGCTTAAAATACAACTTACTCCCATCATCATTCTTATCTATATTAATGATTGTATACGTTCTCCACCCCAATCTTCCAACGATTCTTTTGCCAATCGGATAGTTAGCATTTTTAGATTCAATTATTTTAGCAACTTGTCCTCCAATCATCGTTGAATTCAACGGGTACCTTATCGTGTATCGTCTCATGTAAGGATCAACTGATAAATATTCAGCTTCAACCAAAATTTCTATAAAAATAGATACATAAAATGTGAAATAATAAATAAATAAATGAATAAATTTTACTTCTCAGAAATAAAATTAAAAATTTTTATAAAAATAGTTTCATTCTATAAGAACTTTTTTTCTAATAATATAAATACATTAAAAATTTACAATACCTCCATCCCTGATTTCCGGCAACTCTTCTTCAACCAATTTCAAATCACTCGGCTGAGGTTCGCCTTCAAAATACTTGGCAATAATAAATTTCTTCGCAACCACCATCTTAAGAAGAAAAACAATAAAATAATTAAATTAAAAAATGAAACTTACAATTTTTGTTGACAAAAGTTTTATTCAACTGATAACCACGTGCAGACTGACTCAATTTATATATAAACCGGCGACTGTCTGTGAGAAACATCGCCCGTTATGATATCATGTGACTCACGATCTCTTTACAAATATACATTGCAATATAAAAATAAAAAAAATATTTTACCAACTTTACCGGCAATCTATAAACAATTTCCAACAATTTTGCATACTATATATAAATAAATAAATAAATATTTTTTTATTTAACTTCACCAGTAGAGCAGGATTCGCAGGAAGTATCGCAACTTTTTTTTATATTATTACATTTTAATAATTTTCATTACAACTTATTTAATTATTCTCTCATCGTATCACTCAACAAACTTTTCTTCCAACCCTGCGCCCTTCAATCTCAGGCTTTAGAACCTACTAAGAAATAGGGTAACAGAGTTAAGTTAAGACGTTCTTAATTAAGAATAAATAACTAACCTTTTTTTCTCCCAGATCTTGATTTCTTCTTTTATTTGCAGACTAGTTTAATCGGCTAAAAAATCAGCAAGCGCTTCACGAACCGACGAGCAAGATCAAAGAGGCGATGAGCAATAAGAGTATACTAACTTCGTACATCCTTTTACCATAGATCTCTCATGGAACGTGAGCAAGAAATCCTCTTTAGGATGCATGTATGCCTGATTATTCAGTCTCCGCATTTAGAACTCAATGGACCGAAACTAAATTTGCAATATCTCTTTCTGATTTTATCTGTCTCAGATAAACATATTATTCCTAGATCATCCCTCCTTTCGTTTTATTAACTAATTATATTACTTAAAAGTCATTTTTTTCTTCATTATACACAATTATTCCATTAAATTTTTATCATTAATCCTTTCAAACTTAAATTATAAAATTAAACTAATTTTTTTAACTTTTTTTAGATAATAAATATTTGTTTAAATTAATTATAAAATTAAAAATTGTTTGTTTTGTTTATACTATTGGATATTTAATTTTGTTAAATGACTATTGGTTAAAATTCTGAAAATTGATGAAGATAATTTTTAAAAAATGATTTTATTTATTCTAAGATGTAATTGTTGCTTTAAAAAATAGTTTAATTTATAACATATTTGATATTACATGCGCAGTGTAAACAACTCCGGGTTACATCGACATAGCAGGAGAATAAGGGCACTTAGGAGCTCGTTCTCTTCATAATAGCTACGGCATGCGTGTACATTTCACTTTCAAGGATTAAGTCTGAATTTTAATATCACTAGGATGTTGATAAAATTTTTTTTTTTAATAAAAAAAAAAAATTTTATTCAATTTAATTAATCAAATAATTTTTAATAAAATTTTGTTAACTTAAAAAACAATTTTTATTTTTGATAAATATATTTAAAAAATAATATTTTGATTTTTGATTGTGAAGGAAAAATTTAGAATAAATTGAAGAGAAAAAATTTCCATGCTTAGAAATTTATCAATGTGTTATATAAGTACAATATGAGTGTGCAATTGTGCAAACCTTTTCTTACGTAAGCGGTAAAATAAAGTGATGATAATAAAGTTTGAAGAAGAAATGCAAAAAAATCTCTTAGGTGCGTATGGGTAGGATCATATGTGTTGAGCAGGTTCCTTTTGTTATTATTTAGTGGCACACTATAATTCAGAAGGACAAGGCCGGCGCGGTCTTTAAACTCTTGGTATTTTCTGTAATCCTGTTGAAAATGCGTGGGCGCGGTCTCCTGCAGTACGAGGGCCGGCCGAGATTACATGAGGTCGCACCCTTTTCGCGCAATCATAAATGCGGATAGTACAACTATGCCGCGATCTATCCGGCGAATTCGTAGTCCAACCCCTAGTGCCTCTGTTTAAGATTCTACACGCGGTTTTCACCACGTCAAAATTCTAATTAATTCTAAGTAATACTTAAAATTTTCATTTTACACTTAAAAATTTACTCTTAGCTCAAAATATTGTCTGGAAGAAAATCCCTTAGTATTAGTTCAAGATTTTTTTAAGTCATTAATTTTTTTATTAATAAACATTAATTTCTTATTGAAATTTTATAAGATTTATAAATAAAAAAATTATTTGAATTAAAAAAAAAATATTCCATCAAATTTGATAAATTTTCAGATAATAATTACATAAATTTTTTGTATCAATTAAATTTTATTTAGTATATATTTTTTTTATCATACTACCTTATTAGTTTTATTTTATAATTAAAATTTTGAATAAATTTTTAAATATTAGTCTTCATTTTTTTAAAGGTAATTTTTATTTTGACTCAAAATTAAATATAGTTTAAAAATTATAATAAAAAATCTGACAAAATAATACAACTTCTGGATAATTATTTACTAGCTATGTTAATTAAGATAAATTGCGCTAAATGCCTGAAATTTGAAATTAAATTTCAAAATTGTTAGTTTGTAACAGTTACTATTATTCTGTAAACTTGAATTAGGGTAGAAGTACCGTTTGTGGCCACACTGATAAAAATTTTAACTTGACTCAAGAGCAAAAATCTTGAACCAAGAACACCAATTGGAAGAAAATGAATTTCTTGAGTCAAGATAGATTCTCTTGAATTAAGAAAATATATCTTGACTCAAGAATTTTTCCTTTTGGCTCAAGAGATTCATTTTCTTCCAGAGTGATGCAAATAGATTTCATACTAACTTTACCATCTCTCTATACCTGTACGTGTAAAAAATGCAATTTCAAAAATTAATTACTCAAAAACGGTGCGGTGAATTGATCTGAAATTTTGGTGGTGAATTATTAATTTATTTATCTTTCAATAAAAAAAAATTCCATAAGTTTCTTGAAATATGCTTTTCGTGGAGGTACAACTACCTTAATAAACCATTACAAACTCAATTTGTTTTAATATAAATTTTTTAAAACTCAACAAAAATATGGTTATAATATTATAATGTTTTATAAATTAATTCAAATGGTAACTGTTGAAAAATTGATTAAAAAAAATACCATTGAAAAATAATATTTATATTCAAGCGATAATACTTCAAATCACCGGACACGTGCTCGAATCCTGTGATAAATTTAATAGTATATTTAAATCAAACCATTAAAATAAAAATCCATAAAAAAATGGAATAAATACTATCCATTGTTTAAAATTGATATAATTTTTTCTCCACTCATATATTAAAGTAAATATAACCATTGACAAAGTTCGATTGCGATACGAGATCAAATAACACACATTAAATCACTCAGTCAATAGTAACATTGACCGTGTAAATATCGAGTTACATAATCATCAATAGCGAGCTCATATATCACATGTATACACAGCATATTGCGTGCAGTCGCGAGATTTCCTTTTACATGATTCGTGTCAATCAAAAAGCCCACATAACACGTACGATATACATCTACTCATGTTATATTATATATGTATACGTCCAATGTATGACATATATACAGTCACACCACTTTTTTCTTGGCAATCGATAGCGAAAAACGATAGAGTATAGAGTATAGAGCCAAATAAAAAGGACGTATGTATACATAACTCTATAACCACATGGTGTACAATTTCTTGGTGTTCCTGCATTCCTGCTCTAAGAGCGGGGGCGGCACCCGCGGAGGGCAGGCCGTCAAACTCGCGGGGCGGAACCCTCCCGGCGAGAGGCGGCGCGGAACAGCAATTTGCGATTTTCGGCGCATTTACTATCGTCAGTAACAAAATACTTTTTAAAGCTTATATACCTACACCCAATAAATCTGCTTATCAATCAATTAAAAGGATCAAAAAGTTACTATAGTCGCTTTGATGAGAAAAATTTTATTCTCTGTAAAAATCAACAATTTTGAATTTTTTATTTTGACTACCACGTTGCTGTACTAAATATCGAGAGCGTTAGGGTGGTCCTAATTTGGGGTGCGAATTTCTGCGCCGCCTCCGAAGCTCATTTCAATTTTAAAAATTAATTTATTTAAAATTTTTTATTATTATTATTTATTTATTTCAGCCTTAATTGAGGGCCTAGAAATAGGACTGAGTACATATAACCTTACATAATCTTATTTCTATTAAATTACATTTACTTATTTTACTTATTTCGATTATTTTAACTTAATACAATGTGCAAAATTCTTTTATTACTTCTCTATATACGTATATATTTTCATGATATATTTTTCATTTCACGGCTCTGTCTATTTTATTTTATATTTAATATTTAATGATTTTATATCTTTTTGGTATTTACACTGCCTATCTTTATTATATCACACATAATTAAAACAATGCAAAAAATTTTTTATTATATAAAAATATTATTTTAGTTTAAAAATTAATTGAGTAATTAATGAAACCCTATAATATGCTATATAGAAATACGACCACCCAAAGTCAATTGTTTGACTTCTCAGATATTTATTCACAAGCGGATGTTGAGGGTGGATCTGTAGTAATTCGATCGCGTGCCGTTGTTCCACCCCAAATTTTCCGTCCTCCCCTATTCTGATCCTGACTCGCCTATATATTGAGTCGCGCAGGAGCCTCCCGGTTGATACATATTATCCTGCTCCAGTTGTTTACTACTGTGTATTGTTGGTCTGGTAGTTTTCTAAGACTACTTCACTACAAAGACTGTAAACCTTCTTCTAATATGTGTACAAAATTGTACTTAATTTATTTTTTTAAAAAAAGCCTTTAACAAAAATAAACTGAAAATTTCGCAAGTTAAAATTTTAATAAAAATTCAAAAAAAAAAATTTTATAATGTAATGGAGCATTTAATAAAATAAATTTTTTTGACAGTAACAAATTTAATCACTGAATAGGAATATATACGATATATTCTGCGATACATCTAATAGGAAGGTATAAATAATAAATATATGAAGAGATAATATTCCATATGTAGATTGTACCTACATACATGTGTAAATCCCATACTAATACTAATACTGAATAGTTGTGTATAAATTTTATTTGTATACAGTTTGTTTGAATGAAGCGCGCAGACAAACGAAATAGTTTGGTTCGTATTCGGGCTCAGATTGATATCACAAACATTTGTCACACGAATTTCATGCTACCCTACCACTTTTGTATGTTATCCAATAATTGCGGCACATTGTCTCGACGCTTGCTCGACTATGATGGCCCCCTGATATTTCCATACACTGTCAGATAATCGCATAAGTACAATTCACATCATATTATGCCATATTCTTACTTCAACGGTCTGTATTGGTTTGTACGTAATACTAGACATCCATATCCGCTTTTTGGTATCAACAATTTCTCTGGGAAAAATTTTATAAATATTATTACTTGTAATAAGTTACATAATACAATATATTATTAATAGTGAAATTTCAATGTGGAGCAATTAATGTGGAATTACTATGAAGAAAATGAAAATTTATGTCTGTACAAAGAAATAATTGAAAATTACTATGAATGTACGTTCAAAATGTATTAAGTTTAACTATTGTATATGAATATTAATTACACTACGTATGACAATAGTCAGGCACGCAGCAGAACGCAAGAGGTCGCAACAATTCGACGCATGGACGACTAAACTTTCGAGCCCTTTACACGCAGTCCCGGCTCTTCCTATACTAGCTGAATTGGTAATAAATGCAGTTATAAAGAGGAAAATTTTTGAAAATATAAACTTGAAAAATCTTTGGCCTTTGAGCTATTTTT